TGAAGGCCAACACTGTAAGGAAGAGTGCTGACCCACCATGCTGATGAAGAGAGAATGTCATTGTTTTCGGTTGGAGGGTTTCAGAACAGATTCTCTGCTGTTGAATGACTCGGCTAGTCAAGGAGGGGGAAATCGGCACTAAGTACATCAGCAAGTCTACCTGGTGGTTGGGTGAGAGAGGCTGCCCGGTTCTTTGCCAAATTACGGCAGCATTTGGCTGTCCAGAGACCACACAGTTCAGCTCCAATGTTTGTCCTTCTGACACCGAGCTGGAAGATGGTTCAATCCTCAATCCTGGGACAAAACGGATGCTGAAAAGGTAGGAGGTGAAGTCAGCTGTAAAACATTGCATGCTGAAAACAGCAACTCCAGAAGAGTTCAGACCACAAAACAGGACTAAGGCTACAGCAGAAATATGGAGACTTTAGAAAAGTACTTACGGTCAACAGATATGCGGGAGACGGTGACAAAGGTTGATGCTTGCTGAGTGAATGTGCCAGAGGACACACGGCAGATATACTCGCCAGAATCTGCAGAGGAGGCTTGTAGGATCCTCAGCCGTGAACCAGACACCTAACCGGGAGATGCAGATATCAATGAGGACTGGAAACCAAATGGGGGTTTAGAAAGAGTTGTTCTAATAAAAACCTGTATAGGGAGAATCTCAGAAATGTTAGCTTTGTTTTCGTTTATTTCTGAATCCCAGAGGTCATGTAGACAAATACCTGATGATTTGATGAAAGTGGAACTCCTGGTCTGTACCACGTGACCACAGCATCGGGAAAGCCAGAAACCTGGCAATCCAGCTCCAGAGTTTGCCCCTCAACCAGAGAGCCAGAGGATGACTCGATCCTGAGTACGGGAATTTTTTCCGGGTCTGGGGGAGAGCAGACATTGGCAAAAAAATGTTCTCTGCTTCTAATGGACCATATTAGAGGAAATGGGTTAAAACCAAAGAAGAGTAGAAGGAAATAAGATTGGATATGGAGAAATAATCTCAGTGAAAGAGAGAGACAAGGCCATGAAGTATTGATGGCAAGTGAAGATTCCACCAAAAGAAGAATAGATCAGACAGAAAAAGTGAGGAACATAAACCCATCCAACCAACTTAGAAGTAAGACATGTCCATGTAGAGCTGGCACCAAGCGGCATACAAGAGGGCAATGAAGAACATATATAACACAAAACTATGAGATGATGAGAGCCCAACTCAGGCCAGAGGTGGCAGAAGGACACTAGGACACTACATGAGACGTAACAAGACACAGGAGCAATAACACCGGGAAAGGAACTCAAATGCAAGAATGCCAATCCCGTACTGGGAGGAAAAGAAGCAAAGGTTGAAGTTTGAGGAATCTGTTGGTAGATTGGAGGAAGACACAAAATGAAATGGATGAGTTTAGGTGGAGAACAAGGAAGGGATGATAACTAGCGCTGCAGATGGCGTACATATGAGGCATAAAGAGAAGGTTGGAATAGCTATAGGTGTTCTGAAGGACAGGCACACCAGGAAGAACTTACAGATTGGACTACGGGTGATGGTAATAATAATGGAGGCTTGCTGTGTGCCAAACCCGTTGGTGACCCGGCAGATGTATTCCCCGGAGTCTGATGAGGAGGCTTGGAGAATTCGGAGCCGGGAGCCATACACCTTAGAGAGGAACAGTAAACTAAACATGGAGGAACCAGCAGTAACATTACATAGTATAGGGCTTCATATCTCTTACACAAGAGACCAACGATGGCTTTAATCCTTACCGGTCATAAAACATTCCAGAAAAGGTAAATATCAGAGAGTTGTGGAAACATAGTATATCTAGTGGAACCCAATGTAATATTTTATATATCTCTGATAGTTTTGGTTGGAGCACATAAAAGAGAACAGCGTGTGAAACAGGCGCCCCGCCAGAAAGGGCCTATACCCCTCCATCTTTGTGCTCTCCAGTGAGCTCATAACAAAGTTGCTCCCGAGGCAGAATGCAATGCCAGCACCAACAGGCAGGAAGATGGGTGAACTAGCTGGTTGATAATGAACATTTTTGACATGTAATTTCTTCCTCCTGTAAAAATCTCTGCAGTGAGAGAGGAACCTGTACTGAGGTGCTCTAATTTTGTGTTTTTCTTGGGTCTGCCAGGGCTGTGGACAGTTAACATATGGAGATGTCACTTTTAAGTCCATCTGAACCAACCATCATTAGCTATGAGCAGAGAGCCCAACTTCAGCAGCCATGACACAGAACCCTGGAAGTCTGGGGTATTGGATCAGCGGTTTACCCAGACAAACAATAGCATGCTAACCTATACTATATGGCCAGATGTATGTGGACCCCCTCAAAATGATGGAGCCCAGGTGGCTCCAGTGAAGGGTCCTGGGAATACTCCATCATACAAAGACATTGGAGACAATTGTGCTCTTCTAACCTTGTTGTAACAATTTGGTGAAGGCCTTTTTTTGTTCCAGCATGACTGCCCCCTGTGTGCAAAACCAGCTCCATGGAGACATGCATGACCAGTGTGGTGAGGAGGAACTCCAGAGTCCTGTACAGAGCTCTGACCTCAACCCTACTGATCACCTTTGGGATGAATTGGAACTCAGATGGTGGACCTCCTCATCCAACATCAGTACCTTATAAAATAAAGAAAGTGAGCGCACTTCAGTGAGCGGCAAATGCACAAAAGGAACTACAAGCCCTTCCAACCAGAATAGAAACAATAAAGTGCAGCGCTACAAAAATAATATCCAAGTGACAATTATATATGCGGTCATCAAATATAGGAATATTGAAGATGATAAACAGTTCAGTGATGGGGGACTCTCAGAGAGTATAGGTGCAATCCAATCCCAGGAATAGATAAATTGCCTGCTTACCAGAAGCGCAATATCAATACGCATGTACAGGTTATATGTAGCCGGGGTCCCATGTAGGCGCTGCTTTATAGTACCCAGATGGTCCGTCGGTGGTAAGACGATGCTGGCCTGGTCGGATCACACTGCTCCTTGGATCCACGCAGAGAACCTGAAAATGCTGGGGCTGAGGTATGGGAACTCAGTGCCAGATGTAAGGAGTAAAAATACTCATAGTGTAGTATGTTTAAAAATTATTTATTAAATCCAATAACGTAAGCCATAAAAGTTACAAAACGCATGCCTGCAGCCTGTAGCCAGTATAAGCAGCTTGAAAAAAAGATTCTATACACTGACCAGTGAATACCAAAGGTGGGCCGCCGGACCTCCTGACCCGGCGGCGTAACGTCAAGGCGTGCGAAGGCTCCTCCTAGACGCGTTTCGTGTCAATACACGTCTACCGTAGGGGTGATGCCATGCATGATGCATGGCATCACCCCTACGGTAGACGTGTATTGGCACGAAACGCGTCTAGGAGGAGCCTTCGCACGCCTTGACGTTACGAAACGTTACGAAAACGCGTCCCCCATCACTGAACTGTTTATCATCTTCAATATTCCTATATTTGATGACCGCATATATAATTGTCACTTGGATATTATTTTTGTAGCGCTGCACTTTATTGTTTCAACATCAGTACCTGACTTCACATATAGGGACAAATTCCCACAATTGTTTGGAAACCTTCCCAGAAGAGCGGAGGATGATATAGCCACAAAGAGTGGTAACTCTATATTAATATTATTTAATGGCCATGATTTTAAAATGGAATGTCTACCAAGCTCATATACAGTACGTGCGATGTGTGGAGGAGCATGAGTGTCCTGTACAGAGCCCTGACCTCATCCCTACTGAACACCTTTGGGATGAACTAGAACGCCAATTGTGGGAAAGGTCTTCTCATCCAACATCAGCACCTGACTTCATCAATGAGACAAATTCCCACAGCCACCCTCCAAAATCTTGTGGAAAGCCTTCCCGGAAGAGTGGAGGTTGTATAGCCACACAGAGAGAGCAACTCCATAATAATGAGCATAGTTTGGGAATGGGGTGCCCATCAATACATATAGGTGTGAAGGTCAGGTGTCCACAGTCTTTTGGCTGTATAGTTTGCCTGCTCCCATCTAGATTTTCCTGATCTATCAAAATCTCCTCCATTGTGTTTTTGAGGATGTTCCAAAACCAGAAACACTCAAGATAAAGTCCTTCATATGCATCCCAAACCGTTAAAATGTCTTCAGATATTCTGATCCTCTACCTAATCTGAGGTGTACACTGCTGTGAGGATTCAAAACTGTGAAACGCCGATATGGCAACTGTTACCAGGAAAAAATGTCCAGCCTTTTGGGCACAATGCCATCAGATCATCTCCCTCCAGCACTCCAGTGCCTGAACATGTCAGCATGACAACACAGTACAATGCAACATAGATACATAGTTAGTCTGGCTGAAAAAAGACAAAAGTCCATCCAGTTCAACCATTAAAAAAAAAAATTATAATCCTACATCCACAGATGATCCAGAGGAAGGCAAAAAAACCCAGCAAAGCACGATCTAATGTGCTCCTGCAGGGAAAACATTCCTTCCTGACCCCCCGAGAGGCAATCGGATATTCCGGGATCACCTTTCCCTATAAATGTTTTATCCAGTTATATTCTGTGTATCCAAGAAAGATCCAGGACTTTCCTACAGCAATCCACTGAGCTGGCCACACCCAACTCTGGAGGGAGTCTATTCCACATTCTCACAGCTCTTACTGTGAAGAAACCTTTCCGTGTTTGGAGATTACATTTCTTTTCCTCCAAGGAGTCCCAGTTGTCTAACTGTCCAGAACCTCCGACCCTCAGCCTGATTTCGGCTGTACGGAGGGGGTGTGGGAATAATTAAAAAGTACATATACTGGACATAGATTATGAATGTATTCCTACCTGCACCAAGGGGCATATTTTTCAATTGCCCAGAGTTGCGGTTTGTTAGATGTTCTTTTCTGTGGACACTAGCCTGGGGCAATTGTTCTTGATTAGGAAGTTATTTTTAATTGATGAAACCCCCCCCCCCCCCAAAAAAAAGATAACCCAGCATTGCGTGCGTTTACCTGGTGATTCTGTGAGAGTGGGCGGTCCGGCCTGTGCCATGTGACCACAGCTTGCGGGTATGATGCCACCACGCAGTTCAGCTCCACAGTCTGTCCTTCCCGCATCGTATCTGAAGACGGTTCAATCCTCACCAGAGGAGCAGATCCTGTGGCTACATACCAGAGAAACAATACGAATGAGAGATTTGGATGTCTGATGTTGCTGTGCAGAAGTCGTATCAGAATGGGACTCCGGAACTCACCTTTGACTACAATCACTTCGATGCGGGCCTGGGAGGTGCCAGCGGTATTGGTGCCGACACACAGGTAAGTACCAGCGTCGGCTGCAGATATAGAGGGGATCAGGAGTGTCGCAATGTCCGTTCTCTCGGTTCGAGCCTAAAAATCAGACATACAATTGGATGGACTCAAAAGGTCACATTTCACCCCAACGCCCTGGTGTGGCTGTGCTAAGCTCGGATTAAGATTTGTGCATAGAAAGTGGAGGACAGGTTGGCTGTAACGTCTAGTCCTCAGCTCCACAGAGGTCACGTTTTCCATGTCCTGCACTGATGAGAGCCAAAACGATGCAAACAGCTTAATGCAAATGATGACTTTTATGTAAGAAGCAGCAAACACAAATGGTCCTGCGCTTGGGGATGGACTGGAGGCTACAACCACATTAACAATGTCCTGGAACATGCACACCTTGCTGCCCTCAATAGACCGGAAAAATCCAAATATACTGAATGAGGAAAGAACAAACATGGCGCACAGGCCGAGGGCAATACCATAAAAAATGTTTAATAATAAATAAAGTTGGTGTTGTTCTCACAAACGACAATAAAGTCAAGGCACATCATAAAGAACAGCTGGGCCAACACCGCACTGAGTAACTTGCCTCTGAGGTGTCTCTGAGGAAGAGGCAAGACCTCGAAACGCGTCAGCCTATTGGATGTCTACACTCCCTATTGCGGACTGTTCCTCAGCGCGGTGTTGGCCCAGCTGTTCTTTTATGACGACTTTTATGTATCTGGGGATTAGAGATGCATCTGGTATCTACCTGCAGCTCTTGGATCCGTCTGTGGATGGCTTCCAGGCTGCTGCTTCGAAAGTGAAGGAAACCGAGAGAGGTGAGGGCCTGTGCGGAGTGCCGCCGGCAAAGTGAGGAGGAACAGAAAGTCAAAGAGAGTGAAATCAGATGGAATGGGTTAGTAAGGTAGGAAGACTGGAAGAAAAAAAAGATAAAGAAAGGCCCAGATCATAGAATAACTCATTTACAGCTGGGACAACCTGACCTGGAGAAGGCTATTCTGGACAATGGCAACGCTCAATGCCAAGCAGCTGCTGCAAAAGCAAATACAACCTTCCCCTAAAAAGCTAGAAACATCTGATGCAGTTATAGCATTGGCCCAGTATGGTTTGAAGATTTGGAGAGGGTTCTGGGTAAAGGGAAGGGAGGTCTCATATACATTATGATATATCCGTACAAATATATAAAAGATCAATATATAGATCCTGAGAAAGGTTTTACTATTTCAGTGAATGTACGAAGGAAAAGGGGACATCAGATGGTGAATGGACAATTCTAAGAGGACGATCATCACTGAAAAAGTCGTTTAGGTGAGGTCTGTCCTGCTGTACGATGTAGAAATGGCAAAATCCTTCTTCCAATGGATGATGCCCACAGTTGTAAATATTAATATGGAAAAGTTTCCACTCAGAAAATTGATCTGAGGGTGAGGAATGTCCCCGTGGTAACTATACCAGGACACCCTTGACCCAGGCCATTTTGTTTTGCTTTACTAAGCGTCTGGCAAGCTATAGAAGTAATGTGTGAGCAACTGAACAAGCAATCATTTAAGGTGGAGGTGTTAGTAAAGCATGGTAGGGACATCAGAGACAAGAGCAGAGCACAGTGTGCAGGAGAAAAGTCTAGAGGAACATGGAATCAGTTGAGGGTTGTCATGCTGGTGTCGTGCAGATTGGCTCTAACACTTCCTGATCTGACCAGAACACTGATGGAGGAGGGAAGAGCTCTATATTTTTTGCTCAGAATGACTGAGCATATACTCTAAAACCTCAGGGAACATTGTCCTTCACTAAGAAGTGTGGTCTGCATAGACCTGCACAATCTCTAAGGAAGCCAATACACGGTACCAAATCTTTGGTGGGATTCAGAAACAGGAGGAACAAACTCCCAGACTGACCTGTGGTGGTAGAATGCCTCCTTGCTTCCTCCAGGATATTGTTGCCATAGGACTGCCACCAGCTCTGCAATACAGACGGACTGTGTCGCCTTCTCTGACTTCAGTGCGTTCGGGGCTCACCTGCACAACTGGAAGATTCCCACCTAGAGGTACATGGGACACAAGCACATGAGATGAACCTGAATACTCATTCACCTTAGAGACACAAATAGCATGCGTGCAACTAAAGTTTCATGTATGTCACAAAGTGAAGAAAACTTGGTAGAAGAGCTGAGCTCCAGCTGAAAAAGATCCAGTAGTAAAGATGTGAGCTCCATCTGATTAAGACCTGATAAAAGATCTCTAAGCCGCAGTTGACTAAAATCTAGAAAAAGAGCTGAGCTCCATCTGACTAAGACCTAGCAGAAGAGCTGTGAGCCCCATCTAAAACCTGGTAGAAGAGCTATGAGCCCCATCTAAGACCTGGTAGAAGAGCTGTGAGCCCCATCTAAGACCTGGTAGAAGAGCTGTGAGCCCACATCTAAGACCTGGTAGAAGAGCTGTGAGCCCCATCTAAGACCTGGTAGAAGAGCTGTGAGCTCCATCTAAGACCTGGCAGAAGAGCTGTGAGCCCCATCTAAGACCTGGTAGAAGAGCTGTGAGCCCCATCTAAGACCTGGTAGAAGAGCTGTGAGCTCCATCTAAGACCTGGCAGAAGAGCTGTGAGCCCCATCTAAGACCTGGTAGAAGAGCTGTGAGCCCATCTAAGACCTGGTAGAAGAGCTGTGAGCTCCATCTAAGACCTAGAAGAGCTGTGAGCCACATCTAAGACCTGGTAGTAGAAGAGCTGTGAGCCCCATCTAAGACCTGGTAGAAGAGCTGCGAGCCCCATCTAAGACCTGGTAGAGAGCTGCGAGCTAAGACCTGGTAGAAGAGCTGCGAGCCCCATCTAAGACCTGGTAGAAGAGCTGCGAGCCCCATCTAAGACCTGGTAGAAGAGCTGCGAGCCCCATCTAAGACCTGGTAGAAGAGCTGTGAACCCCATCTAAGACCTGGTAGAAGAGCTGTGAGCCCCATCTAAGACCTGATAGAAGAGCTGTGAACCCCATCTAAGACCTGGTAGAAGAGCTGTGAGCCCCATCTAAGACCTGATAGAAGAGCTGTGAGCCCCAGTTGACTAAAATCTAGTAGAAGAGCTGAGCTCCAATTGACTCAGACCTGATAGAAGAGCTGTGAGCTCCATCTGATTAAGACCTGGTAGCAGAGCTGTGAGCTCCATCTGATTAAAGACCTGGTAAGACCTGGTATAAGAACTGTGAGCTCCAGCATCTACCACTCCAGACTGCTTGGCACAGAACATTGATCACGTTGAGGAGCAGCGTACTTCCCAGACGGGATTATACAAGTATTCCACGCATTTCGCACACTACTAGACAAAAACATTTGTGTAATCTTCATCCACATTACTCACTGTGTACTCGCAGATCAGCCCTGGCAATGTGCTGTCCATGACTATTGCGGACGATGCAGGTGTACTGACCCTCATCAGAGAGCTGAGCGGATGGGAATCTCAGAACACCTCCCTGGATGCTTGCTCTATAGGGGATGCCTCCATTCTGACCACCTGAAAGAGGCACAGTAAGGGGATTAATGGCGAGTCATCTCACTACCCCAGTTCTGAGGTCCTTCTCTGCTTCCATCTTCTTACCTGTCCATTCCACTGTAGGAGGAGGGTTCCCAGTAGCTGTGCAGCGGAACTCTGCTGGTTGACCCTGCTGGACAGTCAGCTGTCTGGGTTCAATGATAGCCGTGGGGTGGGTCCCTGTTCCGGCTACAATATGGTGAAAAACACATTACAGCAAACACATCATAACCCATGATCATACGGTGAACTCCTGGAGTGTCAAATAGCCTCAGATATAGCTACATACATGTGTCCCTCCAGTGTCATGCGACCCATTGGGGTAGTTTTAAAACTGGAGGAGGAAAAACTGAGTTTTCTAAGCCAAACTGGAACTATTGCATCTGGAAGCTGTTTCCTACAGGCAACACACACTTTCCATTTCTCTAGGTTTGAGAAGGCAACCTCAGCACTGATTTGTAGAACCTGAGACTGAGTCACAAGAATCTTCTCATAGGGTCATGCGTCATGCAACCTACACCAATTGAGGACCTCCAAGTCCCAGCATGTGCTGGTAGCTATCTGCTTTATTCCAGGTTTGCTGGAGGTGGTCAGCTACCTTTCTCTTTAGGGTAACAAATACTGGTCTGCACACACAGTACAGTTGTGTAGGTTCTGCAATCAAGGTTGATGGGATGGAAGGAAGCCAAGGTCACATGTTGGTGAAGTCACAGGGAGCTGGAAATTAGCATCACACATCACAGACATACAATATTAGTGACTGTCTGTATCCACATCTGACCACTGAACGGCACATACACACACAGTATGGGGCGATGGGTCTGCTCCGACATGCAAGGAGGCAGTCTCTGGCATTCAGGGCATTATGGTAAGGATCATGGCTGCAGAAGGATGGTAGATCAGGCAGTTTGGCATGCTACAGTCACAGTGCTCCATGGGTTGGAGCACTCCATGCCAACTTACTCGGACTGTGTCCTTCAAAGGTCTCAAACGGTCCATAAAACATCTGTGTCTGGGACGTTTCTGTGGATAAGTAGGAACCGACTTTATTGTACAAATTCATAACCATACAAACGGAATCTGTCCAGTATTTGTACAGGAAGTCCCCATAAAAATGTTTTTACATCTGGTATATTGTACCAAAGCTCAACCCATGCCCTCGTCTGTTTTGATGAAGCAGGAATAGGGTCTTACCCTCTGTCTGGTTTTCATTCCTGTCTGTACCCCATTGGGAGATTTACTCTCTTTATTGACCATTGCCACCCACACAGAAATGGATGGGAAATCCAAACTTGCAGAATTGTCGCCAGAACTAGAGGAGACAGATGATCTTTCAATGTGGACATCTGTTCCTGTGACACTTAAGGGAGACTTCCTCTCATTACCTGTTGAATCTCCAGGACAGGAAGTAAAGACAAGTCACCCCAAGGACACGGACCACAAAAGAGAATTAAGAGACAGGGATTGACCCCATCCCCTATTAAAAACCAAAGAACCTTTTCCATACATACATTTTAAATAATATCTTTCCAACCAAGCACATATAGCGCACATCTTATAGAATGTTGCTTTGATGTCCTCAGTTCCGGCTTGGTTTGGTCTCTGGTCACCCCTCACCCTGTGTCCCATCTCAGCTACATAACACAGAGGTGGAGTGCTGGTGGTCATGGAAGCCACGTGCTTTATTTATGGTCAGCAGTGGAGCTGCCTTCTATATACAGGTGAATACACACAGAATATATACAAAACAACAAAGGCTCTCTGTATAGAATATGTGCACATTACAGGTGGCGTTACCTTCGTGATTTGAAGCATGTCGGTGTCATCTGTACAGGAGGTTTCACATATGTCAGGGATTAGGCACAGAACAATATCTCACCTCAACAATGTTCATATCGCTCTTTAAATCCAAAAAAAATCATGTGAACAAGTAACATTTATTAGTGCACATTGGGCAGGGCCGGCATATGGTGCACATGTATGTATCCAGCGTTTGTTATTGTATCCTGTGTTCACAGTCATTTGTGTAAGTTTGTGGACACCTGAACATCACACCTTCACTACATGGCCAGATCTAATGTAGACCCCCCTCCAGATGCTTGAGTTCAGGTGTCTCCAGTGAAGGGTCCTGGTAATACTCCACCATACAGAGACATTGTAGACAATTGTGCTCTTCCAACCTCGTGGTAACAGTTTGGTGAAGACCATTTTCTGCCCCCCCATGACTGTCCCCCGTGTACAAAGCCAGCTCCATAAAGATATAGTTTGACCGGTTTGTTGTGATGGAACTTGAGTGTCCTGTACCTCAACCCTACGGAACACCTTTGGGATGCATTAGAACGCCAATGGTGAACCAGGTCTTCTCATCCAACATCAGTGCCTGACCTCATCAATAGGAACAAATTCCCACAGACACTGCAAAATCGTGTGGAAATATTTCCCCGAAGAGTGCAGGCTGTTAAAAAAGGGGGTCAAAGTCTATAAATACATGGTTTGACCAGTTGGGTGTGGAGCCAGGTCTTCTCATCCAACATGAACACCAAATGGGCACAAATTCCCACAAACACCCTCCAAAATCTTGTGGAAAGTCTTCCTAGATAGTGGAGGATGTTATATTGCAAACAGACAGTTCCATATTAATGGCCCATGGGGGGGCAACTCAATATTAATGGCCCATGGGGGGGCAACTCAATATTAATGGCCCATGGGGGGCAACTCAATATTAATGGCCCATGGGGGGGGCAACTCAATATTAATGGCCCATGGGGGGCGCAACTCAATATTAATGGCCATGGGGGGGGCAACTCAATATTAATGGCCATGGCTTTGGAATGGGATGTCCAACAAGCTGATATAGGAGTGATGGTCAGTTGTTCACACATTTTTGCTCATACAGTATCTGTCTATACATTGCAGTGAGGAATATAGCCCAGGATTTCTATATTTGGAGGTATATTTGTGTGTTGAAGTGTGTTGAACTACATATGTATTGAGGTATAGGACGCAGGATTTGTATACTGAGGTATATCATTGTATTTTGAGGTATATCCGTGTGTTGAGGTATACATTGATAGTAGCTTCTATTTCACACGGTTAGGTCCATTCAGCAGCCCACTGATCTTTCTGAGAAGTGGGCAGAAACTTCTCCAGCAGGGGGCAGACCACGCCAGGTCCTCAGGCAAATACAGTCTTGTGTACAAAGTCAGTACATTTTCTATTAGGACATACACTGCATTCAGTCCATCTTCGAGGAGATAACAGTCCGGATTTCTCCTTAACTCCATACGGCTGCTGTCTCTATCGTCCTTCCACAGGAACGCTTCATTCTGTAGTTTGTCACTTTATAAACCCCTCCATCCAAAATATCCCACAACCACAGCAAAGACCACCAGAAATGCCTTCTAATTTGCTCCAACATTCTCAGGATTCTTTTTTCTGTACTGTTCAATAAAGATCACATTTCAAAGCCAGAACCTGCTCTACTAAGATGATACAGACCACATCATGGCATGGTACAACATGACACAGGCCAAGACCACCCTCACCAACCCACCTGATACAACATGACACAGGCCAAGACCACCCTCACCCATCTGATACAGCATGACACAGGCCAAACCTCACCAACCCATCTGATACAGCATGACACAGGCCAAGACCACCCTACAAGACATAGGCCAACCCACCTGATACAACATGACACAGCCAAGACCACCCTCACCAACCCATCTGATACAACATGACACAGGCCAAGCCACCACCCACCTCACACAACCCATCTGATACAGCATGACACAAGCCAACACCACACCATCCTCACCAATTCACCACAACTGACACAGGCCAAGTCCACCCTCACCAAGCCAACGTACAACACAGGCCAAGTCTTCATCCTCACCAACCCACCTGATACACATGACACACATAGGCCAACCCTACAATAGGCCCTCTCCAACCCATCTGTTACAACATGACACAGGCCAAGACCACCCTCACAACCCATCTGATACAACGTAACACAGGCCAACGCCATCCTCTCCAACCCACCTGATACAGCATGACACAGGACAACACCCTGCTCACCAACCCATGTGATACAACATGTACAGACCAACACCATCCTCAAAACCTGATACAACATGACACAGGCCAAGTCCACCCTCACCAACCCACCTGATACAACATGACACAGGCCAACTTCACCCTCACCAACCCACCTGATACAACATGACACAGGCCAAGTCAACCCTCACCAACCCACCTGATACAACATGACACAGGCCAACACCATCCTCACCAACCCACCTGATACAACATGACGCAGGCCAACACCACCCTCACCAACCCACCTGATACAACATGACACAGGCCAAGGCCAACCCTCACCATCCTGATACAACATGACACAGTTGAAGTCACCTCACCAGCCCACCTGATACAACATGACACAGGCCAAGTCCACCCTCACCAACCCACCTGATACAACATGACACAGTTGCCAAGTCAACCCTCACCAACCCACCTGATACAACATGACACAGGCCAAGTCCCCACCCTCACCAACCCACCTGATACAACATGACACAGGCCAAGTCCACCCTCACCAACCCACCTGATACAACATGACACAGGCCAAGTCCAACCTCACCAACCCACCTGATACAACATGACACAGGCCAAGTCCACCCTCACCAACCCACCTGATACAACATGACACAGGCCAAGTCCACCCTCAGCAACCCTCTTGATAACAACAAAGCACAGGCCAATTCCAAGTATGATTCTCATCATAATAGCACAGCCATTCAGTCTTGTCTCATATTGTTCCAGGTTTCACTCATTAACTGTAATGTACAAAATAAAATACTACATTCATCTACTGCCTGTGTAAATTGTGGGTCACATGATGAGATCCTGAGTTGTTCAGTGTCATACAGCACCCATGCCAAGGAAAGAACCCAGTACCACAGCTCTACTAATGGTCTACTCCAATAACTCACATTCTAATGACCTCCATTCCTCTGTGGAATACTCACCATAGGCACCTTCTGCTTTTATTACTATTAATCACAATCAAGCCTTCATATAGAAATTCACCCATACGGCACCACATCACATGGACATTCCCAGACCATTCTCCTACCCGGCTACAGCTGCAATGTAACACTACAATGGAGGTCTTTCTGCCACCACAGTACACAACAGATTCAGGTTCCTGAGAATGTGGAGCTTTTATATGATGGCTGAAAGTACAAGAGGCTGTCACCGAGTCAGAAAGAGGAGAAAACGGCTCTAAGTCAGGGGAACTGTAAATACCAGGATACAACCCAGACAGAGCAGACAACATAAAATGTATATAGTGGACACGGTGCCTGTGTGGTGGACATAGCATGATGCCTGCGAGGTGGACCTATTACGATGCCTGCGAGGTGGACCTATTACGATGCCTGCGAGGTGGACCTATTACGATGCCTGCGAGGTGGACCTATTACGATGCCTGCGAGGTGGACCTATTACGATGCCTGCAAGGTGGACCTACTAGGGCGCCTGAGAGGTAGACATGGCACGGCGCCTGAGAAGTGGCTCAACGGCACCTGCTAGGTGAACGGCGCCTACTAGGGCGCCTGAGAGGTGGACATGGCACGGCGCCTGAGAGGTGGACATGGCACGGCGCCTGAGAGGTGGACATGGCACGGCGCCTGAGAAGTGGACATGTCACGGCGCCTGAGAGGTGGAAATGGCACGGCGCCTGAGAGGTGGACATGGCACGGCACCTAAGAGGTGGACATGGCACGGCGCCTGAGAGGTGGAAATGGCACGGCGCCTGAGAGGTGGACATGCAACGGCGCCTGAGAGGTGGACATGCACGGCACCTGAGAGGTGGACATGGCACGGCCTGAGAGGTGGACATGGCACGACGCCTGCGAGGTGGACATGGCACGGCGCCTGAGAAGGTGGACATGGCACGACGCCTACGAAGGTGGACATGGCACGACGCCTGTGAGGTGGACATGGCACGGCGCCTGAGAGGTGGACATGGCACGGCGCCTGAGAGGTGGACATGGCACGGCGCCTGAGAGGTGGACATAGCATGCTACCTCGGCAATAAACTGTACACACTTGTAATGAGTTGAACTTTCTGGTTTAACTCAATGGACATGGGTCTATTTGAACCTAACTATGCAACCCACCATCTAAAAAAATAAAGCAATGTCTTTCTAGTTAGGAGATTGTCCAGGAACATGCTATCATCATGGAGGAACATTGGACTGACTTCCTGCACACATAGATCAGAAAACCACAGCGACAAATTCTGGAAGTGGCCACATTATAAAGAGAAAATCCATTCCTATTATCTTCATACTTCGTAAACAATTATCAGTAATGGAGGTGATCTCTGCCCCTGTGCAGCAGATACAGATGAGGTGGCATATACTAGGACCTATGTATTACATCTTCTTCCATTATTTTCCAATGTCTTTGAGTTATCAGATATGGAACTATTGAAATGTAACAGATCACAGGCTGCAAAACTATGCTATTGATATCACTTTTATATCTGGGGAAAAGCCAAGTCTTGAAGGAACTCAGAAAATAAATGTGATAATAAATACAGCGTTGGGTACGACTATTCTATAGAGGGAAGACGAGAGGACAATCGCCCTTGGCTGGTTCTCCCATGAGACCTATTATTCTACAGAGGGAAGACGAGAGGACAATCGCCCTTGGCTGGTTCTCCCATTAGACCTATTATTCTACAGAGGGAAGACGAGAGGACAATCGCCCTTGGCTGGTTCTCCCATTAGACCTATTATTCTACAGAGGGAAGACGAGAGGACAATCGCCCTTGGCTGGTTCTCCCATTAGACCTATTATTCTACAGAGGGAAGACGAGAGGACAATCGCCCTTGGCTGGTTCTCCCATTAGACCTATTATTCTACAGAGGGAAGACGAGAGGACAATCGCCCTTGGCTGGTTCTCCCATTAGACCTATTATTCTACAGAGGGAAGACGAGAGGACAATCGCCCTTGGCTGGTTCTCCCATAAAACCTATTATTCTACAGAGGGCAGACAAGAGGACAATCTCCCTTGGCTGGTTCTCCCATTAGACCTATTTTTCTACAGAGGGAAGACGAGAGGACAATCGCCCTTGGCTGGTTCTCCCATTAGACCTATTATTCTACAGAGGGAAGACGAGAGGACAATCGCCCTTGGCTGGTTCTCCCATTAGACCTATTATTCTACAGAGGGAAGACGAGAGGACAATCGCCCTTGGCTGGTTCTCCCATTAGACCTATTATTCTACAGAGGGAAGACGAGAGGACAATCGCCCTTGGCTGGTTCTCCATTAGACCTATATGGTAGGACATCCACCATTCAGTACACTGAATATTTCACACACATCAGTGGACATCAGACAGTTGGTATTCTGTGTGTTGTCTGAATGGCACCACCACTATTTAGTTCTACAACTAATTCTACATGATCAGAATGGCCCTTCAACCCTATTACCAGTGCTGGACCAACACTCAGGCCATACTCTTCTGCAGTCTGTTGAAGAAAACATTCCAAAAATTCTTACAAAAAAAAAAAACCTAATGGCTCCTAGGTGTGACTGGTCCATGAATTCTATACCTGCCCCCCCCCCCCCCCCACCATACACACACTGTCTATATCTGGCGCTTAGCGTTTGACCATGGGACCGTTACACAAAGCTGCGAATTGATCAGTAGCTGCCACTTGGCACATGACGGACAGTCGGTGTTCGGTTCTCATTTATTGGAAAGCATCGACAACATTTTGAATTTAAGAAATATAAAAGAAAAGCACATTTGTGGTCACTGCTCGGGGGATGGAGGCGTCCATAATTGGGACAAGAAGGCAGAAGCTGAGAGCACAAAAGCAAAAAAGGCAAGTGTGTGACTGAAAGGGAGGGATCTGCTAGCGGTGGAAAGCTGAACGGCTTTTATTGGCCGTCTGTAATCATATGATATCACAGGTAGTGTAGGCCCTGGCTGCTTTAGCGTCCAATCAGATTAATGGAGATTCCTGATTAGATGAGATGAAGGGTGAAGAAGCAGACAGAAGTCATGGAGGGGGTTATTCCGGCATGCAAACACATCTTTGGTTTTATGGCACACGACCAGGAGGAACGTCCGCAGAGAATGGTGCCAGCCAAAGCCCAGAAGCCAAGGGAAGCCTACGAGAGCCGTGCATGCCGGGGAAGTCAGTTACTGGACGTGCAAGCAGTAAGGAGAGTGGAGGAGATTTAGCACCATGCAAGTGAGGTGGAGGATGGAGGGGTCTAATGGTGACTCTTTCACCAACCTTGAACATGGAGTGTTGCATTGCCCTCGTCCATGTCGAACATGTTGGAGCCGGTGCAGATGTAAATCCCGGCGTCCTCCGGCTGCACATTACGGATGGTCAGGATGCCATTGAAGTCCATCGCTCTCTCTGGGAGCTTCCCATTATTCTGACGGGTCCACACCAGCGTGTAGGCTGGAGACTGGAGGAGAGAGAAGAGGACAATGGCATTAAAATGCTGAAACAGGAAATGAAGGAACAATTTGATTCAAACTCTCATGTCTACAAAATGGTAAACCTATGCTGGTCATGAATGGGTTAAACCCTTGGAGAATAAAGTCGTTAAATGAAACATTCAATGCATCTCCCTGGCGTCACACTCACCACACTCTTTGCGGTGCATATGAAGGTGACGTCGGATCCTTGGCGTGTGCTCTGAACCCGCTGCTCCTCCACAGTGACGGTGATGGGTCTGGTGTGGGAACCAGCTATAAGAAGGGAATTATGGCCGTTATTCCACATTTCAGAACCAAAGATCACAAGATCCCTCACTACAACCACACAGTTCACTACCCCTTACAGCTGCAGGAGGGATGGGGCCCTTGGGGAGTCTATCTGGGTGCTGCTGATCTTGGGGGGGTTATATGGAAAGAATGGCAAGACATGACAATGGAGGAATCATAGGGGGAAGCAGGGGGTCAGGGTTTATGGGATACACAAGACATATAAAGGGGATACAATGTAACAGAGCGGGTGGTTTGATGCTGGAGATGGAAATCAGACAAACCTCAATATTCTGCTGGTGGAGGAGAGTCCCGGGAGATGGCAGCATAATACAAAGTATGGGTTAGTTATAGGACTGACGGTTCTCTGCACAAGTTACTGTTCATATATTCATGACATCATTCCAGAATATTCCACAGACATCAATGTACACCAAGTATATACAAGGATACACTCCTATATCACATTCTGGGCTCACCACTCAACTCTTCAGTGTCCTACACAGCAAAATGTTCAAACATGCCACATAGGCAATAGAAGGATGGGAACTGGATGTCACTATAGGACAGCCTTTCCCAACCAGGGTTCCTCCAGAGGTTGATAGGGGCTCCTTGAGCTGTGGCTGATTGACCTGACTGGTGGTGCCAGCACAGTTCTCAACCCCACTTGGCAGAACCAGCCGCAAAAACCCAAACCTGCCTGTAAGGGGGGCAATTCTTCCCGCTGACCCCCCAATGTAAGGGACATTCTTCCCACTGACCCCCAATGTAAGGGACATTCTTCCCACTGACCCCCAATGTAAGGGACATTCTTCCCACTGATCCCCAATGTAAGGGACATTATTCCCACTGACCCCCCAATGTAAGGGACATTCTTCCCACTGATCCCCAATGTAAGGGACATTATTCCCACTGACCCCCCAATGTAAGGGACATTCTTCCCACTGATCCCCAATGTAAGCGACATTCTTCCCACTGATCCCCAATGTAAGGGACATTCTTCCCACTGATCCCCAATGTAAGGGACATTCTTCCCACTGATCCCCAATGTAAGGGACATTCTTCCCACTGACCACCAATGTAAGGGACATTCTTCCCACCGAACTCCAATGTAAGGGACATTCTTCCCACTGACCCCCAATGTAAGGGACATTCTTCCCACTGACCCCCAATGTAAGGGACATTCTTCCCACTGATCACCAATGTAAGAGACATTCTTCCCACTGACCCCCAATGTAAGGGACATTATTCCCACTGACCCCCAATGTAAGGGACATTCTTCCCACTGACCACCAATGTAAGGGACATTCTTCCCACCGACCCCCAATGTAAGGGACATTCTTTCCACCGACCCCCCAATGTAAGGGACATTCTTCCCACTGACCCCCAATGTAAGGGACATTCTTCCCACTGACCCCCAATGTAAGGGACATTCTTCCCACTGATCCCCAATGTAAGCGACATTCTTCCCACTGACCCCCCAATGTAAGGGACATTCTTCCCACTGATCACCAATGTAAGGGACATTCTTCCCACTGACCCCCCAATGTAAGGGACATTCTTCCCACTGACCTCCAATGTAAGGGACATTCTTCCCACTGACCACCAATGTAAGGGACATTCTTCCCACTGACCCCCAATGTAAGGGACATTCTTCCCACTGACTCCCAATGTAAGGGACATTCTTCCCACTGACCACCAATGTAAGGGACATTCTTCCCACTGATCCCCCAATGTAAGGACATTCTTCCCACTGACCCCCAATGTAAGGGGCATTCTTCCCACTGATCACCAATGTAAGGGACATTCTTCCCACTGACCCCAATGTAAGGGACATTCTTCCCACTGACCCCCAATGTAAGGGACATTCTTCCCACTGACCCCCAATCCCCAATGTAAGGGACATTCTTCCCACTGACCCCCAATGTAAGGGACATTCTTCCCACTGATCCCCAATGTAAGGGACATTCTTCCCACTGACCCCAGTGTAAGGGACATTCTTCCCACTGACCCCCAATGTAAGGGACATTCTTCCCACTGACCACCAATGTAAGGGACATTCTTCCCACTGATCCCCAATGTAAGAGACATTCTTCCCACTGATCACCAATGTAAGGGACATTCTTCCCACTGACCCCCAATGTAAGGGACATTCTTCCCACTGACCCCCCAATGTAAGGGACATTCTTCCCACTGACCCCCCAATGTAAGGGACATTCTTCCCACTGACCCCCCAATGTAAGGGACATTCTTCCCACTGACCCCCCAATGTAAGGACATTCTTCCCACTGACCCCCCAATGTAAGGGACATTCTTCCCACTGATCACCAATGAATTGTTTTTTTCAAGGTCTCCCCAACACTTGAAAATTATTTCAAGGGTTCCTCTGGGGTAAAAATGTTGAGAAAGGCTTCTAAAGAGGTTCATTCCTCACATCCTACAGCAATCAGGACTAAGGCACTCATCAACCCAATGTTTTGGATGGAGTGGGGGCAGGGTTAGAACCTTTGTCAGGTTTTTATTGCTTTTCTTGCTGAGATTTCTATTGCCATCTGCCATACTTTGAAGAGGAAATGCTATGAAATCTACCCAGCAGGAACACACAGCCAACAGAGCTTTCTAACCTTTCCCCACGGCAGCCAAAACAAAGGAAAACTATGTTCGGAGTTCCACTTTAGGAACCCAGGAGCTGTATACAGGTGACCTGGATTGGTGATGACCCAATTCCTTCTGCTGGTTTTGCACCGAGTTTGTTCCTCCGGGTGATTCTCTCTGTAGGTGTACAGGCCCGTCCTCATTATTCTCCTCCAACAGTCCCTCGGAGGACAGTCACCCTGAGAACACTCACCTTGTACGGTGATCTCCGCCCGGCTGGTGTTGGCGAATTGGTAGTTGCGACAAGTACAGATGTAGATGCCGGAATCAGAAGGCTGAACGTTGGGAAAATATAAACTTTCTCCTGAAATAGAACCAGAGACACAAAGGTCAATGCATTCAATGAGATGATCTACAAACATCACTAGGTGCACACTCACGACGCCAGACTCTCTGCAGCCTCGTATTTCAGCACTGTGCAAGTCCCCATCCTGCTAACAGGAACATGCAATGGCCACCCAGCTCATCATCTACATTCCACAAGTCTGCAATGGACACCTCCGATGTCACTGAAGGTGCCGGATTATCCATCTACTTCACACTCTGATATACACCTAGAAAATGTTTTACAGAAAAAAACCAGGATTCTTCACGTATCCTACAATTCATGGTCAAAAGTGATCCCCTCTACTGCGTCATAGTGATCCCTCACTGGTCAACTGCGTCATAGTGATCCCTCTCTGGTCAACTGCGTCATAGTGATCCCTCTCTGGCCAGCTGCATAAAAGTGATCCCTCTCTGGTCAACTGTGGCAAAGTGATCCCTCTCTGGTCAACTGTGTCATAGTGATCCCTCTCTGGTCAACTGCGTCATAGTGATCCCTCTCTGGCCAGCTGCATAAAAGTGATCCCTCTCTAGTCAACTGTGTCATAGTGAACCCTCTCTGGTCAACTGTATCAAAGTGATCCTCTCTGTCCAACTGTATCAAAGTGATCCTCTCTGGCCGACTATGTCAAAGTGATCTTCTCTGGCCAACTGTGTCAAAGTGATCTTCTCTGGCCGACTGTATCAAAGTGATCTTCTCTGGCCAACTGTGTCAAAATGATCTTCTCTGGCCGACTGTATCAAAGTGATCTTCTCTCTGGCCAACTGTGTCAAAGTGATCTTCTCTGGCCAACTGTGTCAAAGTGATCTTCTCTGGCCAACTGTGTCAAAGTGATCTTCTCTGGCCAACTGTGTCAAAGTGATCTTCTCTGGCCAACTGTGTCAAAGTGATCTTCTCTGGCCGACTGTATCAAAGTGATCTTCTCTGGCCAACTGTGTTAAAATGATCTTCTCTGGCCAACTGTGTCAAAGTGATCTCTCTCTGGTCAACTGCATAAAAGTGATCCCTCTCTGGCCAACTTGATCCCTTTCTGGTCAACTGCATCAAAGTGATCCCTCTCTGGTCAACTGAATCAAAGTGATCCCTCTCTGGTCAACTGCATTAAAGTGATCCTTCTCTGGCCAACTTGATCCCTCTCTGTTCAACTGCATCAAAGTGATCCCTCTCTGGCCAACTGTGTCAAAGTGATCCCCTTCTTGCCAACTGAGTCAGTGATCCATCTCTGGCCAACTTCATCACAGTGATCCCTCTTTGGCCAACTGCATCACAGTGATCCCTCTTTGGCCAACTGCATCACAGTGATCCCTCTTTGGCCAACTGCATCACAGTGATCCCTCTCAGGCCATCTGAATCAAAGTGATCCCTCCCTGGTCAACTTTGTCAAAGTGATGTCTCCACCCAACTGTGTCACAATGAATGATTCCTCTCTGGCCAACTGCACTGAAGTGATCATTCTTAGGCCAATTCCATCAAAGTGATCCCTTCCTGGCAAACTGTGTTAAAGTGATCCCTCTCTGGTCATTTTTCCTTCACTTTCACATTCCTGGCCTTAGCTGAAAGGAAAGATCAATCAGGTACCAAAAAGAGCTTTTATATCCATTTTTATTTGGGGAGACACTTGTATTGGGGAGTCCTCGGGGACATCGGCAGTCTCTTACCTCTGTCTATTAGTTGGGAGTTGCTGGGGAGAGGGTCGCCCATCTTCACGTGACCAGAAGTAGTAGTGAGGAGGATCTCCACTGCCCTGACAGTGTAGGGTCACCTTCTCACCCGCCGCAGCTGTCCTTTTGTCGGGATAAATTCTGACAATGAAGGAAGATCTTTGATCTGAAAGATGAGGGAGAAGAAGTGTCACCAATCACATGGTACATAGGAATCACATTTGAGGTCTTCCAGGGCCATGTCAAGAAGGAAAATGATGAGAACTCACCATCAGGGAGACATTTCTGTCCTCGGATATTAGGGCTTCCCGTGTAGCCAGGAGCACATCTGCAGGTGGGGGGGGGGGGGGGGGGGGGGGGGAGAGGTAACAAAGTGTGAGACAAACATCCACACGGAGATATTGCACATATCCATCCCTAGAGCTGCCCCAGGGACACCAATGTGACAAAACCCTGAGCTGCAGCACACTGCCAACCGTAACCCAGAATGAATGCTCCCTCCCCGGAGATTCCAGTTCTATCATCTCTACCATTCTGATCCTTTTATATCTCCCACTAATATATCGTGTGGACAGGATCATTACTGAATGTTCATTGTTCCTGAATTTGGAAACATCCGTATTATGAACAAAACTATGAAGATCTATTTATTGACTCTTCTAGATACACGTGGAGAAATGATGTGATCCAATCAGAAGTCAAATTGTCCCATCTGAGACCAATACCTGGAGGAAACCTGAACTTACCTACCTCAGTACACAACAGGCCTTCCAATTACTGACTGACAACAGTATGACATGAAGTGAATGACACCCACCTCTCGCAGTACTGTCCGCTGTAGCCTGGAGGGCAGGCTGTGCAACGGTACCCACCCATACCCAGCGTTTCACAGGTCTTAGAAAACCTAAAATAAATCACAGAGGGGCATCAAGATATGATTATTGAACTATTTGGCAGCAAAGACTGAATTCCTTATATACACAATACAATCTTTTTTACAAATAATTGTGTTAAACTACATAAAATTAATGTGTGTGAAAAAAATAAAATCAAACTAAGCATGGCACTCCATGGAAGGTACCGTAATGGGGTCTTGTCCTGTCTTGCTTCACCCCCACCAGCAGAATACTCTACCACTCTCTCCAGAAGGTACCAAAAGGTTTTAGGGGTCTTCCTTTGGTCCTGTTTCACCCCCTAGCAGCAGGATACACCCCTTGCCCCCTTGAGAAGGTACCGTAAAGGGGTATTCTCCTGTCTCTGCCCCATCAGCAGGATACTCTACTTCCCTACCAGGAGGAACCATAAAGGGGTATTCTCCTGTCTCTGCCTCATCCCCCATCAGTAGGATACCATACCTCCCCACTGGAAGGTACCTTATGGGGTCTTCCCCTGGTCCTGGTCTCATCCTTCATTAGCAAGATACCCCCCTTCCCCCCACAGGAAGGTACCTCAAGGCGTCTTCTCCTGTTTCTGCCTCACTCCCCCCCCCCATCAGCAGGATGCCCTTCTTCCCTACCAGAAGGTACCATAAAGGGGTATTCTCCTGTCTCTGCCTCATCCCCTCATCAGCAAGATACCATGCCTCCCCACCGGAAGGTACCTTATTGGGTCTTCCCCTGGTCCTGGTCTTATCCTTCATTAGCAAGATACCCCCCTTCCCCACACAGGAAGGTACCTTAAGAGGTCTTCTCCTGTCTCTGCCTCATCCCCCACCAGTAGAATACCATACCTCCCCACTGGAAGGTACCTTATGGGGTCTTCCCCTGGTCCTGGTCTCATCCTTCATTAGCAAGATACCCCCCTTCCCCACACAGGAAGGTACCTTAAGAGGTCTTCTCCTGTCTCTACCTCACACCCCCATCAGCAGGATACCCTACTTCCCTACCAGAAGGTACCATAAAGGGGTCTTCTCCTGTCTTTGCCTCACCCTCCACCAGCAGGATACCCTACCTCCCCACCAGAAGGTACCTTATAGGGTCTTAACCTGGTCCTGTCTCATCCCCTACCAGCATGATACCCCCCTTCCCTCCACCAGAAGGTACTGTTAAGGGGTCTTCTCCTGTTCTGCCCAACTAACTACCAAGAGGATCCATCACTGGAATATAAACAAACTTCTGAAAAAGTCCCCCTCCTCCCACATGACCAGATTCAAGCTGTGCATTGTGGGAGGGAGTACATGTTGCTCCCCTGGGGGTATTTGGGGGCTTCTGGTGGAGGAGGATCTAGGTACAGGGAGGACAGCTTTCTTTAGGTGGTGGGTGAGGATTGAGGAAAGAGTGAGTTTCCTGTCATTGATTTTCTCACAGCACTCAGCAGGTAAATCTCTGCCATAAATGGAAGACACTTACTGGTTCTCGGGGTTGGTCAGCGGGCACGCACAAGGCTGGCAGTCCTCAGGAGTTCCGGCCGTGGCATCGCCATAGAAGCCGGGCGCGCACTTGTCGCAGAACTCTCCCGCCGTGTTGTGTAGACAGTTCTAAGTCACAAGAAAGGTCAGAATGGTGAAAACATTTCATACTTTGTGATGGAGCAAAGGATGACTGACCAGGAATACCGTGTAGGTGGAACATGAGCTGAGCGGGGGTCATACTGGCGTAGAACCACAACCACATAATAACGGTGGACTCTGATTGGCAGCTGTGCCCCATACAAACATTTCATGAGTGAGGTTTTGTGTGTTTAGGAGGCCATAGATCTGGGATTGTGTATATCCACAAACAGCGGGGAGAAGGTACAAGGCAATTATATGTACAAAATCCGAGCAGCCCGGAGTCTGGATACTACGATAATCCCTCGCGGTACACACTCACCGTACAAGTGCCGGTCTCCGGGTGACAGGTCTCGGAGTGACCATTGCAGTCACAGGGCTCACAGTGTCCGAGGTACAGACCTCCTCCGGTACGTGTGTATCCAAGTGCGCAGTCCTGTCACAGAAAGGAATTGGTTACCCCACTAGGGAAGATCGCCAAAGGCGTACCAACAGGTGAAAGTCCAATCGCCAACAATCAAGAGTCACAAAAAATGGAGAAAAGAGGGAGTGGAGCAGTCTCTCTCCACCTCTTCAACACAGAGGAAACTTGAAATAACTTTCTGCTCATTGGTGGTTCAGTCGGGAAGAATGTCCTTACATTGGGGGGTCAGGAAACCCCGGCTAAAATGACCATGTCTACAACTCATGATACATTAGTGTGATCTGATGGGCATTGGGAAGAATGTCCCTTACATTGGAGGTCAGTGGGAAGAATGTCCCTTACATTTGGGGGGTCAGTGGGAAGAATGTCCCTCACATTGGGGGTCAGTGGGAAGAATGTCCCTTACATTGGGGGTCAGTGGGAAGAATGTCCCTCACATTGGGGGTCAGTGGGAAGAATGCCCCTTACATTGGTGGTCAGTGGGAAGAACGCTCCTTACATTGGTGGTCAGTGGGAAGAATGTCCCTTACATTGGGGGGTCAGTGGGAAGAATGTCCCTTACATTGGGGGGTCAGTGGGGAGAATGTCCCTTACATTGGTGGCCATTAGGAAGAATGTCCCTTACATTGGTGGTGAGTGGGAAGAATGTCCCTTACATTGGTGGTCAGTGGGAAGACCCCCTACAGATAGCTAAAAAGATCAATGGTATCAGTGGGAACTTATATGAGAGGCAGAAAATTCTCATTGCTCAAGGAACCCCTAGCAACCTCTGGAGGAACTCTAGGGTTCCATGGAATCCTGGCTGAGAATCCCTGTCCTAGAGTAAGGGGTAAGAGGTCTGCTGAGACTGGTGATTTATACCAGGGTTCGGAATGTGTGGACATGGCACGGCCTGGTTCCAGCTACCAGTAGAAGGGCATAGGTACCAGTACTCAGCAGTACAAATGATTATCCTTCTCTGGACCTTGTTGGTCAGATAGAGTAAACACTGGACAAGAAATCTCTCTGAATGTTGGGATGGGAGTGAGGACCCTCAAAAGACAAGAAGGAACATTTATATATGGAAGAGCTGCAACTATACATAGATGACTGGTGTATATAGTACAATATAACAGTATAGGTGGCAGTCAGGCACTGTCAATGTTAGTTCAGAAAGGACCAAAATGTATAAAACATTCAGAGAACATTCAGACCAAACTCAATCCATCTCACCTGGCAGGACAAGCCTTTGTATCCAGGAGGACAGCGGCATTCCTCCACCTCCAAAGCCTGCGGCAGGCTGGTGTAAGACGGTCCAGCAGTCTCCATGCTCACACCAGTGATACCGGCGGATAACATGTCTGTGGAATACGAGGCTCGGATAAGAATTTCATCGAGGTCAGCCAGAGCCATCATCAGATGTTCGCGGGTAGCCTGCTGCCCATCTGGACGTTTCCATTGACTCTGATGGGAGATGATAGAGAAACGTTAAAGGAAGATTTGGACTCCTCGGATTTCCTTCGTGTCTATAATAAAGCACACAGAGAAGTCCCTCACCTCTCGGAAGGCAATCTCAAAGGTCTTGATCTCGCGTGAACGTAGCTCAGTCTGGTAGGCAACCAGTGTGATGTCATTACCCTGCCGGGCAGAACATAAAAAGCGTTATTTGGCATTTGGTTGGGTCTCCATTGAGATGAACCTTCCCCACCCAGAAAAAAACCCTGGCCAACCTCAACAGTGCTCATTTATCAGGAGACCTTCTGGGGACATCCCTCCACATGCAGAATCAGGCCCAGATTGTTAGACTATTACAAAACCCAACTTAGAACGAGATCTAACGACTGCTATGGGGGAATTTGATGTTTTATATCTGAGTGTATACTGAGAGGTTGAGGGTTGGTGCAAAATAAGGAATTCTCCCATTTTAAGAAAGTGATAAAACTGTTCAAAGTCCATCCTTGAACATCTATAGAAAGACATTGTGTTCCCAGGAATTCCCAATCCCAGGAACTGTCCACTTTAGGATGGACACATATCTCACACCACAAATCGTTGGCTTCTCATACCGTGATCTGAATATCTGCATCAGGCAGCGGGGAGCCACGGACTCCGGCCGTGTAACTGAGCGTGTAGCGCAGCGTGCCACCGTACGACGCCACCTGAAATATGAAAATGACACAGACATCATTATCTGTGAAAGGTTATCAGCAGACACACAGGACTGGTGGTTATAACCTTCTGCTGTGGAACTACAAGCACCAGCATACACTTCCTGATAAAACCAGAAATCACAGTTTACGATTGTGTGTGTGCAGATTTTACTTGGAATTACGTATGTTTAGACTGCAATAGCAGCCATTCGGCAAGACTCCAGAAAGGCAAATGTAACATCAGGATAGGAAATGCATGTATGCCGCTCTAAGTACAAGATTATGAGCCAAGGAGCAGGTGACAGAATTGTAGGAGCCAATGAGCAGGCACCAGACTTGTATGAGCCAATCAGCAGGGGCCAGATTTGATAGATCCAATGAGCAGGCACCAGACTTGTATGAGCCAATCAGCAGAGGCCAGATTTGTAGAAGCCAATGAGCAGGCACCAGACTTGTATGAGCCAATCAGCAGGGGCCAGATTTGATAGATCCAATGAGCAGGCACCAGACTTGTATGAGCCAATCAGCAGGGGCCAGATTTGTAGAAGCCAATGAGCAGGCACCAGATTTTTATGAGGCATTGAAGGGGCGCCAGATTTGATAGATCCAATGAGCAGACACCAGATTTGTATGAACCGTGGGAGAAGATGCCCAACTACCATGGAGGGTGTACGGTTGGGTGTATTGCAGGTGCCCCACCCATCTATGTAATTCAATTGTCTAGGTGGACATGGTCTGGACTTCTCCTGGGACATGGTTTGGACTTCTCCACTACACTGGACTGACTTGTATCTGAATTCTACAATACCAGCTACACTTCTACGACACATTTGTGAAGAGATCATACTTTGTCTACGGTGGAATTCTGTATGGATGTCTTTGGCTACAGATGTATATAAATTATACTATCTCCATGAACTTCATCAAATCCTAGCTGATTATTTCAGTATTTTATTATCTGGACAGCAAAAGAGGTTTCTAACTGGATAGAATATAAATGGCGCTGTGGAGCTCACCAGGAAAGAATGGCCACCAGATACAGTTTCTATAAAAACAACCAGTTCACTCATTGGTGAGAACCAGTCCAAAAATGAGTGAAGACCAACAGCGAGGATCAATTCACCCAAGGCTTAGGATTACTAAACAGTAAGGACTAGTTCACTTCTAGGTGAGGACAAGTTCATCAATGGGTGAGGACCAGCCTACCAGTGAGTGAGGACCAGTTCACTAATGGGCATGGACCAGTTCACCCATGGCTTAGGACCAGTTTACCAGTGAGTAAGGACCAGTCAAAGCCATGGAAACCTCTTGACAACATCAATCAGACTTTATTGTCTCGTTTTCCATTACCTTATCCCCAAGGAAAGCTTTAGGCAAGGACCAGTAGAAAACCCCTTCAGGGAACAGAGAGAAGCCCTTGTAGACCAGTGTGAACTATGAAGATAGGAGGCAATAAAAAGAACTAAAGCAGAAGAATTAAGAAAGAAAAACATGCCGCAAACCAGCTTTCCAAAACAGATAAAAAGAAATAAAATGATGACTACATCACAAAGGCAAACACAAACCAGCTGTAGCCAATAAAAGGGGTAATAAAATTCATTTCATCATTTTTTTTTTCGTAGAAGGGTGAAGACTTGGTCCCCATTCGCTCCTTGAACTGCCCATGGGACTCATTGTCTCAGTCCAATGCAAACATAGAAGGAAAATTCTATGCAGAAAACATCCCTGATGGTAAATGATAAAAGCAGGACCCAAGCACTGCAAAGCCAAAAATTCTACATGCTGCTGTCCTGTCGTAGATGAACTCCATATGTCATGCAGACCTCATGCAATGAACACACACCAAACTCTGTAAATACCTTCTCAGCTCCTCTTAATCCCGGAGTTCGAGAATAGAGGACGTTGCTGGAATCCTGACCAGATGTCCGAGGGGCATCTCTGCTCAGAGCCTTGGGGTATTGAAATGGAACATTATGGGGGTATCTGGTTGTGACTACAACCCAACACAAGGACATTGCTAAACCCACAAACCCCGAAATGTGAAAGATCGATCAATCTCAGCCTGGACACAGACCAAGACTCTGATATCTACAATATCTACCCCACTCTAGGCAGGCAGGAAGCAGAATACCTCATTCATAGATCTCCTGGGTGAGTGGCCAGGGGCACCGACAGGTGGGAAGGTATGACTGGCTGACCTAGACTTTACTTTTGGTTGTCTTCGATGACTTTGATGAGAAGCAGAAGATGGACCTGGAGGTCCATTCAAAGACGAGGGAGAAAGAGAACCTCCATCAGACACATTGTGGTTGTTGGTGGGGAGAGACGTTGGGGGCTGATGGGAACGACTAGAAGAAAAACTTGACAGGAGGCTCCAAATTTCATTGTCAATTGTTTCCTGCTTCTTATCCATCTGAAGACGAATTCCATTGTGGGGAGAGAGAAAACAAGGACAGACGAGAAGAAAAAGATACAAGAATGAAAGAGGCAGAACCAGAAAAAAAAAGAGAAAACTGAGGAAGAGGGAAGGAAATATTGGGAGGGAAAGAATAGGAAGGACTATAGAAATTAGAAGTGGGACTGTGAGGCAGGGAAACGGTATAGGGAGCTTTGGGCCAATCATGTACCTGGGCCTGGCGCCGGGATCTAGAACGAGGGCTCAAATGCTCCTGTAAGTCTCCAGTGGCAACTTTCTTACGCATTTCCTCTTCTGTCAGTGACGAGTCATTCAGCTGGATGTACAGGAACAATTTGTTTATCTGCTCCTAATCCACGGGACAAGATGGCCACCTAATGGCACTCAGCATGCTCCACTAATAGGACAAGATGGCCACCTAATGGCACTCAACATGCTGCACTGATAAGAAAAGATGGCCACCTAATGGCACTCAGCATGCTGCACTAATAGGACAAGATGGCCACCTAATGGCACTCAACATGCTGCACTAATAGGCAAGATGGCCACCTAATGGCACTAATAGGACAAGATGGCCACCTAATGGCACTCAACATGCTGCACTAATAGGACAAGATGGCCACCTAATGGCACTCAACATGCTGCACTGATAAGAAAAGATGGCCACCTAATGGCACTCAGCATGCTGCACTAATAGGACAAGATGGCCACCTAATGGCACTCAACATGCTGCACTAATAGGACAAGATGGCCACCTAATGGCACTCAACATGCTGCACTGATAAGAAAAGATGGCCACCTAATGGCACTCAACATGTTGCACAGATAGGACAAGATGACCACCAAATGGCACTCAGCATACTGCACTAAAAAAGAAAAGACGGCCACCCAATTGCATTTAGCATGCTGCACTAACAGAAAAAGATGATCACCCAATGGGACTCAACATGCTTGCACTGATAGGACAAGATGACCACCAAATGGGGACTACGGACCATGCTGCACTGATAGAACACGATGACCACCCAATGGGACTCAACTTGCTCTACTGATAGGACAAGATGACCACCCAATGGGACTAGACATGCCACTGATAGGGATGACCACCCAATGGGACTAGACATGCTGCACTGATAGGACAAGATGACCACCCAATCGGACTCAACATGCTCTTTTGATAGGACAAGATGACCACCCAATGGGACTCGACATGCTGCACTGATAGGACAAGATGACCACCCAATGGGATTCAACATGCATTGATAGGACAAGATGACCACCCAATGGTACTCAACATGCATTGATAGGGCAAGATGACCACCCAATGGGATTCAACATGCATTGATAGGACAAGATGACCACCCAATGGGACTCGACATGCTGCACTGATAGGACAAGATGACCACCTAATGGCACTTAGCAAGCAACAGTGGTTGGCTAGGAGGACTACAGACTCGAGCAATCTCTCCCAGATTCGTATTAGTTCACCATGATGAGCGATTCTTTATGCTTTGAATCTACAACATGAATTAAGTGGGGACAAGGGACTCTACAAAGCCTCAGCCTTGTCCCGTCTTGTGACACCAATAAACTGTTGGATGGGATTCTCACAAGGCTCCTGCACTGTTACACACGTATTTTGGCCAGGCGAAGCACTCACATTTACAGCTGCCCAGTACAAAGACGGCCATATTTAGCCACAATAAATGATGGAGATCTGGTGAGAGTGACACCAAACCAAACGATGAATGTATTTAGTAACAATATCAAACTGCAAAAACCACAATGTTACGGCAGAATGTTAAGCTGTCACCGCAATGAGCCCATCCATCACCGCACATCCATACAGTGCGCACACTACCTTATGGGCCCGACGCATCCGTGCAAAGTACGTCTCCAGCTGCAGGGTGGAGTGACAACAGAAAGAGATAGAATACTCAAAACCAGACAACGGTGAGGAGAAACTTTCATGAATACACATGAAGTCAGTGATAGCATGAAAACCGCAGTGTTATCAAGAGGTCCATGGAGCCTTCTTCATATCCGGTATTCTCGCCAGTTCCGTATTGTGATCTATATTCAATTTGCAATCTAAAATGACACCCAATGGACCCATTACCTATAAAGGAACTGGTCACAAACCCAATCTATTTAGTCTATGGCGGTCCCCATCCATTAAGTGTCAATCTGATCCGCAGATCTGGAGACAGAGGCAGCTGAACTTTTTGGGTTCCTATAAAGGTTTAGCTTGGCCCTCATGTCCCTATTGGTCAGCCATGTTGGCCATTTCTAGGATGACCAATGGGGAGGTTTGGAAGGCAGGAAACTGTGGTCATCTACACATTGGATGGTACCTTTGATTTTGCATTGCTCCATCATATGCTCAGCTTGAAATGCCCAGTTTTGTGACAGGTTCCCTTGAAAACAATAAAATCTGGACATCTCAGCAGTGGATGGCACTGATCGGGTCGTGCCCTCAGCACCTACATCCTGGGAGTTCTATTTGCCAAGTCTGGAGGCTTCTATTACTGTTGAGTGTGGATGGAGCTCAGGCACAACCTGGACAGCATGACCGGTCCCGGGAGCAGAGCTCCCAATATACACAACAGGGTCAGTGCCAGCCCCTAAAACCTGGCCAATGAATCGGCCTCAACGTGTCTGCCCTCCATAGGACAACCACTTGTCTAAAGAGAAGGATACACATCCCACAATGCTACACACTGCCCAAGGCATGCTGGAGATGTAAAGTCCTACAGCAGATGAAGATCAATTAAATATCGGCAAGATAAAAAAACATGTAAATAACATAACAGATTCACAATAAAACCGCAGAACATCTGCTCTCTCATATTGTGTCTCAACAACCAGAGTCAACCCGCGTCTGTAGAGAAGAGTTCGGATTTGGTTGGGGATTACGGATTTGAAGGGAGATTTTATATGGAGAATTGTCCACCATAAAGGAGAACCATTGAGTGACTATTTTTGGGTCCACACTGAGGAGAGCCAATGGCCTTCCTGGTTATCTGTTCTTATAGAGGACAATACAAAGGTGTCCACTAACTCTCCACCCACACAGACAATTCATCGGCTCATTACTGGCTAAGCATAGCCCTCTGCGGCCTGTCCAGACACATGGGCACCATGATGCTCAGCACATCTCAATCATTTCTGATGACGAATGATATTGGCTGTTCATGGTCTCATGGAGACAAGCTACGGACTGCTGCCAAGAACACGACTCCATTTACCACGAGCTCACTGCAGTGATCTGAGGTGGTGGCATGGTCCTGTACACTGCTCAGGGTGACCCCCAGACATGTTGGGTTACCTTATCCCCTGGTAGTTCTCTGGTAGCTGCCAATAGAAGGACTCCTGGCCCAGTTGGTCGAACTGACGATAGGAGAGTTGTGGCCCATGAATGGACATCTCCACCGTGAATCCGGTTGTGATGCGGTTACTGCGCTGACGGTTCACCAGAGCAAAGTTCTGGAAGTTTCCAGGTAGGAATGGACTAGTGATCTGGAATGGAAGAAGAAGGAAGTCACATCTATGACTTGGCACCCATCACATGTACTAGAAGTAAGCTCAGTCCAGGTATACACGTCTGTACATTATGAACGCTCAGCATGCATCTAAGAACACAAATCATCACATAAAGCTATGACCGTCTGACCAGTTTCTCGGTGGTAGCTGGAGCTGGTACATTGCTGGGTGACCCCCATACAGAAGCGGGTAGGCAGCCGTCTGGGTTGTCCACGTTGAGGTAGAAGTGGTTGGGGCGACAGGTGCTGCATGAAAGACCATCTACATGAGCCTGGAAGAAAATACAGAGCGGGGTGAGGTCTGGTCACGTGACCGAGGGAACTGGATTCCGGCAAAGGAGCCTTCTCTTACCTTACATGGGCACTGGCGGCGGGCGTCACATGTATTACTGATGCTGCCCCGCAGATCACACTGGCAGCTGGGGCGGGGCCAGGGCCAGGGCCGGGACCGGGGCCGGGACCTGATGGAGACAGAGAGATAACCCGATTTATTAAAGGTCAAGGTATTCCGCCATTTCCCCATTGAAAAGTATCAGTCTCTGTTTATCCATGTTCCTATCCCAATATCTCCTAGATTGTAAGCTCCCAGGATCAGCCCCCCCCCCTCCCTCTTAGATTGTAAGCTCCAGGATCAGGGCCCTCCAATCCTCTTGCTATTGTATTGTTGCTGTATTGTCTCCCGTTATATTGTACAGCGCAGAGCACACTGTTGGCGCCATAAATCCTGTATAATAATAATAATATCAATTGGTCCATTTTAAATCTTCTAACATGCAACACTTCCATACTTGCAAGGGGATATATGGAACCAAGGTCATACCTGTAATGGGGGATATATGGAACCAAGGTCATACCTGTAAGTGTTGGGGATATATGTCATACCTGTGCAAGGGGATATATGGAACAAGGTCAATTGGTCAGGTATACCTGTAATGGGGGATATATGGAACAAGGTCATACCTGTAATGGGGATATATGGAACCAAGGTCATACCTGTAAAGGGGGATATATGGAACCAAGGTCATATGAACCAATGGAACCAAGGTCATAAAGGGGGATATATGGAACCAAGGTCATACCTGTGCAAAGGGGGATATATGGAACCAAGGTCATCTGTGCAAGGGGGATTATATGGAACCAAGGTCATACCTGTAATATATGGAACCAAGGTCATACCTGTAAAGGGGGATATATGGAACCAATACTGTCAAGATATATGGAACCAAGGTCATACCTGTAAATGGGGGGATATATGGAACCAAGGTCATACCTGTGCAAGGGGGATATATGGAACCAAGGTCATACCTGTGCAAGGGGATATATGGAACCAAGGTCATACCTGTGCAAGGGGATATATGGAACCAAGGTCATACCTGTAATGGGGGATATATGGAGCCAAGGTCATACCAAGATATATGGAACCAAGGTCATACCTGTAAAGGGGATATATGGAACCAAGGTCATACCTGTGCAAGGGGTATATGGAACCAAGGTCATACCTGTAAAGGGGATATATGGAACCAAGGTCATACTGTGCAAGGGGATATATGGAACCAAGGTCATACCTGTAATGGGGGATATATGGAGCCAAGGTCATACCTGTACAAGGGGGATATATGGAACCAAGGTCATACCTGTAAAGGGGGATATATGGAACCAAGGTCATACCTGTGCAAGGGGATATATGGAACCAAGGCATACCTGTAAAGGGGGATATATGGAACCAAGGTCATACCTGTGCAAGGGGATATATGGAACCAAGGTCATACCTGTAATGGGGGATATATGGAACCAAGGTCATACCTGTAAATGGGGGATATATGGAACCAAGGTCATACCTGTAAAGGGGATATATGGAACCAAGGTCATACCTGTAAAGGGGGATATATGGAACCAAGGTCATACCTGTGCAAGGGGGATATATGGAACCAAGGTCATACCTGTGCAAGGGGGATATATGGAACCAAGGTCATACTGTGCAAGGGGGATATATGGAACAAGGTCATACCTGTGCAAAGGGGATATATGGAACCAAGGTCATACCTGTAAAGGGGGATATATGGAACCAAGGTCATACTGTGCAAGGGGGATATATGGAAACCAAGGTCATACCTGTAAAGGGGGATATATGGAACCAAGGTCATATCTGTAAAGGGGGAATATGGAACCAAGGTCATATCTGTAAAGGGGGATATATGGAACCAAGGTATATCTGTAAAGGGGGATATATGGAACCAAGGTCATATCTGTAAAGGGGGATATATGGAACCAAGGTCATATCTGTAAAGGGGGATATATGGAACCAATGTCATACCTGTGCAAGGGGGATATATGGAACCAAGGTCATACCTGTGCAAGGGGGATATATGGAACCAAGGTCATGTGCAAGGGGGATATATGGAACCAAGGTCATACCTGTGCAAGGGGGATATATGGAACCAAGGTCATACCTGTGCAAGGGGGGATATATGGAACCAAGGTCATACCTGTAATGGGGGATATATGGAACCAAGGTCATACCTGTGCAAGGGGATATATGGAACCAAGGTATATATTGGAACCAAGGTCATACCTGTAATGGGGGATATATGGAACCAAGGTCATACCTGTGCAAGGGGGATATATGGAACCAAGGTCATATCTGTCAAGGGGATACCTGAAACCAAGGTCATACCTGCAGTGCAAGGGGGATATATGGAACCAAGGTCATACCTGTGCAAAGGGGGGTTATATGATATATGGAACCAAGGTCATACCTGTGCAAGGGGGATATATGGAACCAAGGTCATACCTGTAAAGGGGGATATATGGAACCAAGGTCATATCTGTAAAGGGGGATATATGGAACCAAGGTCATCTGTAAAGGGGGATATATGGAACCAAGGTCATATCTGTAAAAGGGGGATATATGGAACCAAGGTCATACCTGTGCAAGGGGGATATATGGAACCAAATATCTGTAAATATGGAACCCTGTCATACCTGTGCAAGGGGGATATATGGAACCAAGGTCATACCTGTGCAAGGGGGATATATGGAACCAAGGTCATACCTGTGCAAGGGGGATATATGGAACCAAGGTCATACCTGTGCAAGGGGGATATATGGAACCAAGGTCATACCTGTGCAAGGGGATATATGGAACCAAGGTCATACCTGTAATGGGGGATATATGGAACCAAGGTCATACCTGTGCAAGGGGATATATGGAACCAAGGTCATACCTGTAATGGGGGATATATGGAACCAAGGTCATACCTGTAATGGGGGATATATGGAACCAAGGTCATACCTGTGCAAGGGGGATATATGGAACCAAGGTCATATCTGTGCAAGGGGGATATATGGAACCAAGGTCATACCTGTGCAAGGGGGATATATGGAACCAAGGTCATACCTGTGCAAGGGGGATATATGGAACCAAGGTCATACCTGTAAAGGGGGATATATGGAAGCCAAGGTCATACCTGTAAAGGGGATATATGGAACCAAGGTCATACCTGTAAAGGGGATAGGGGGGATATATGGAACCAATGGTCATACCTGTGCAAGGGGATATATGGAACCAAGGTCATACCTGTGCATGGGGGATATATGGAACCAAGGTCATACCTGTGCAAGGGGGATATATGGAAACCAAGGTCATACCTGTAATGGGGGATATATGGAAGCCAAGGTCATACCTGTAAAGGGGGATATATGGAACCAAGGTCATACCTGTAAAGGGGGATATATGGAACCAAGGTCATACCTGTGCAAGGGGATATATGGAACCAAGGTCATACCTGTAAAGGGGGATATATATGGAACCCAAGGTCCATACCTGTGCAAGGGGGATATATGGAACCAAGGTCATACCTGTAATGGGGGGATATATGGAACCAAGGTCATACCTGTAATGGGGGATATATGGAACCAAGGTCATACCTGTAAAGGGGGATATATGGAACCAAGGTCATACCTGTAAAGGGGGATATATGGAACCAAGGTCATACCTGTGCAAGGGGGATATATGGAACCAAGGTCATACCTGTGCAAGGGGGATATATGGATATATGGAACCAAGGTCATACCTCTGCAAAGGGGGATATATGGAACCAAGGTCATACCTGTGCAAAGGGGGATATATGGAACCAAGGTCATATCTGTAAAGGGGGATATATGGAACCAAGGTCATACCTGTGCAAGGGGGATATATGGAACCAAGGTCATACCTGTAAAGGGGGATATATGGAACCAAGGTCATATCTGTAAAGGGGGATATATGGAACCAAGGTCATATCTGTAAAGGGGGATATATGGAACCAAGGTCATATCTGTAAAGGGGGATATATGGAACCAAGGTCATATCTGTAAAGGGGGATATATGGAACCAAGGTCATACCTGTGCAAGGGGGATATATGGAACCAAGGTCATACCTGTGCAAGGGGGATATATGGAACCAAGGTCATACCTGTGCAAGGGGGATATATGGAACCAAGGTCATACCTGTGCAAGGGGGATATATGGAACCAAGGTCATACCTGTGCAAGGGGGATATATGGAACCAAGGTCATACCTGTGCAAGGGGATATATGTAGGCAAGGTATACCTGTGTGTGTGTGTGTGTATGTGTGTGTAACCGGGATCTTACCTGTGCGGGGGTAGGGGGGGTATATAGAATAGGGATCATAGCTGGAAGGGGGGGTGGGAATATGGAATTGGGTCAGGATTATACCTGTGCAGGGAATGAATGAAACCAGGATCATACATGTAGGGGGGGTATATGGGGGGGTGTATATGGAGCCAGGATCATGGAATTGGTACTGGAGCAGGGGGATATATAAAGCCAGGACCATACCTGTACGGGGGGTATATGGGGGGGGGGTGTATATGGAGCCAGGATCATACTGGGAGCAGGGGGATATATAAAGCCAGGACCATACCTGTACAGGGGATATACGGAACCAGGATCTTACCTGTGCAAGGTTGTCCTCGAGATGGATCTCCTACGTAACCGGGCGCACACCTAGAATTAGAAAGGTTTTGGACTGTCACCACAAACTTCCAGGTGAGTAATCTGTTCAGGTTTTCATACTAATTGGGTGTAAACTCCACACAAAGTTGGGTCCTGCAATGTGCAGTGATACATTTTATCAGGTAGTAGTACATATTTCGGGACAAGGATGAGATTCTCCTGCATTGCCTGCAGCCACCATGATCTCTCTCTTGGGTATTAAAAGACAAAGTTCAATGGAGGCCGATTACCTTTCACATTGACGTCCGATGTAACCAGAGGGACAGGAATCGCAAGTTGGTTGACCATCTGAGTCCAAGAAGCATGTTCCATAGTACCTGGATACAGACACACAAGAAAGACCAAGTTATGGACCCTCATCAGAGGAGGAGACTCTTCACAACCTCCAGATGGTCACAATGGGCCTTATGAACACAAACTGAAGAAAGAACAATCAGGATTGTCACTCCCATCCCATCAGTTCCTGGAGGTCATTATCAGAAAGAAGATTAGTGTGAATTAGAAGAACACGGACAGCCTGATCACTGTAGGTCACTGCAACTTACTGGCTGGTGGTGCCCCGACATGGACAAGGCTGGCAATCTCCAGGACTTCCTCGTCTTGGGTCTCCATAGAAGCCCGGTCTACAGCGGTCACACTTGGGCCCCTCGGTGTTGTGTTGGCAGTTCTGGAAGACAAATGATGACAGATCAGCTCCTACAGATACAAGAGGTGACATGTAGAAAACTGATAGAACTGAAACATACCAGACATTCTCCTGTCTCCCCGTCACACTCCGTAGAATGGCCACCACACTGGCAGCGCTCACATGTGCCCAGATATAGACCGCTGGTAGACCGTGTGTAGCCAATGTCACAGTCCTGCAGGCAGGAAATCCAGACACAGAGATTACATATGTGCAGAATGAGAACATTTGTTTTGTATCGATTCGTTAAGTTACGAATTTCATTTCTTCATTTTCGACCGGATTCATATTTTTCTAATGGATTTGAAGTATTCCTATCAGTAGATCTCACTATGAATCCACAAAGCTGGACCAGCAGTCCCACCCACCTGACACGATGGTCCTGTGTAGCCGATGGGGCAGGAACAGTCCTCCACCTCGAACGCCTTGTCCAGGCCTGTACCATGTGGAAGGGCAATGTCCATGTAGATGTTGGAGATCCTGAGAAGAGACAGGGAGTGAATACATGAGAAACACAATGGGGGAGGTTTACTAAAACTGGAGCACTCAGAATCTGGTGCAGCTCTGCATGGCAGCCAATCAGCTTCTACCTTTCATCTTGCTCAATGAAGCTTTGACAATGAAACCTGGAAGCTGATTGGTTTCTATGCAGAGCTGCACCAGATTCTGCACTCTCCAGTGTCCCATCTATACTGTACAAAGACTCTCGTTACTCACCGACTTTCCACCATCCTCTCGGCGTAGGACGCCCGGATCATCAGAACGTCGATATCTGCCAGCGCCATTAACAAGTGCTCACGTGTAGCTTCCTGACCATCCGTCCTCCTCCAGAAACGCTGCCATGGATAGAAATGGTTTGTTAGATCACTAAATGACAAAGGTGTACAGGTCCCTTTAATAAAATGCCAAAATTCTATGTAACCCAGAAATGACCTCTGACCTCTGGATCTTGACCCAAAAACTGCTGAGTGTGCGTTTACATAATGATGTGTAAAGGTCTTCTCCCGTTGGGCCCCCTTCCCCAGAATCCAGCATCTTGCAGCACCCTCCTAGATAGGTTCCAGGTTAGGGAAATGTAGCTCTTGGGTCACTCTAATCAGTTGAGCTGCATGCGATTATTTGGGTCTGTTCCATGTTTCACTGGCTGCAGGGTTGCCTGCTTCCCCATCAAATCAGCAGCTAAATAATTATGCAGCCTTGGTCAGTCCCGGAGGATAGGTTCCCAGAGGGTGGCTGGAAGGGAGCATAAATAGCCTAGGGCCTGAGACAGAGGGGTTCTTGTCCTAGAGGAGGAAATCCTAGCCTTGAGGGCATTTGTCCTTCTGGACAGACCTGCCATGCTTCTACTGCTCATCGTGGTCCCAGCTATAACTGGGAGGCGTATTCTGCTGAAATTGCTGGAGCTGACTGAGGGTATCTGGTCTGAAGAATTCACAGGAGAAGTGTCTGGAAGATATTGGAAGGTGGCATCCAATTACCCAAGGACATTAGTGAGTCCAGACCGGTGTGAGAGATCCCAGTAACCATGAGCTGCTACTATCCATCTTGAACTAGAGTCAGCATTGCTGAAAGTGGACATTGTTCATGGTGTCCCAGTGTAGTTCAGCCCATCATTTGCTGCTTCAAGGACTGAGCTCAGATTCCTAGGAGGAAGATTAATGTCCTCAAGTTACTGCTTAACTTTGCTGGAGAAAAGCATACCCCTAGACTGATCATTGAGCCTAACTGCTGGTACATCTTCTGGGAGACAGCCTTGGGACCTAAACAGTGGGCCCCTTATGGGGTGAGCACTACAATCTAATGTAGATTTCTGGCCCACCTCCACCAGTCTTGACTTACATCTCAGAAGAGAACAGTAATTGTGATGGGGAATCGGGCATATCTCCATCTCCACCATCAAGGAAGTCTTGTCTTACATCTCGGAAGGGAACAGTGATGGTGATGGGGAAATCGGACCTATCTCCATCTCCACCATCTGGGAAGTCATCTTAGCTCCGGGAAGGGAACAGTGATGGTGATATCATGTCCACCTCCATCATCAGAGAAGTCTGGTCTTACCTTCCGGAAGGGAACAGTGATGGTGATGTGGAATCATGCCCACCTCCATCATCAGGGAAGTCTGGTCTTACCTCCCGGAAGGGAACAGTGATGGTGATATCATGTCCACCTCCATCATCAGGGAAGTCTGGCCTTACCTCCCGGAAGGGAACAGTGATGGTGATGTGGAATCATGCCCACCTCCACCTTCAGGGAAGTCTGGTCTTACCTCCCGAAAGGGAACAGTGATGGTGATATCATGTCCACCTCCATAATCAGAGAGGTCTGGTCTTACCTCCCAGAAATGAACAGTAATGGTGATATCATGTCCACCTCCATCAGGGAAGTCTGGTCTTACATCTCGGAAGGGAACAGTGATGGTGATGGGGAATCATGCCCACCTCCATCTCCACCATCGGGGAAGTCTGGTCTCACCTCCCAGAAGGGAACAGTGATTGTGATGTGGAATCATGCCCACCTCCATCTCCACCATTGGGGAAGTTTGGTCTTACCTCTCGGAAGGAAAGGTAATGGTGATGGGGAATCATGCCCACTTCTACCATCGGCGAAGTCTGGTCTTACCTCCCAGAAGGGAACAGTGATGGTGATGTGGAATCATGCCCACCTCCATCTCCACCATTGGGGAAGTTTGGTCTTACCTCTCGGAAGAGAACGGTGATGGTGATGGGGAATCCAGGAGAACTTCTGATATCAGCGTAATGCTCCAGGAAGATCCCATTACCCTGAAGAACGACATGAGGCTGGGTATCCAGAGACTGGGCCCCATAGGAGGCCTCATAGGTGATGGTGTAGCGCAATTCTCCGCCATATGATGTGACCTGGAAGACAAGGGTCAATGTCACCTTGTGAATCCTTCCACCATAATCGCCATTCTTGCCCCTCTCATTCCCGGTGGGAGCTGTACCTTGTCCCCCTTGAAGCGCTCAGGCAGCACCCAGAAGTAGACGTCTTGAGGGATGTTGTTGAAGGAGCTGTATGTCAGCTCTGATGGACCTGTCACACTGATGCCCTCGCTGATTGTGCGTGTGCTGGCAGCATTAGAGATGGAGAATGGCGCACTTTCATGGCTGTCATATGTAGCGCGGACCTTTAAAACATTGGAAAACATACAATTAATGGATGCAATGGTCATGGTGTCTGCGTGACATCACCCCCTTCTGTACCCCAATATATCTGCTCCCCTGGACTCAGACATACGGATCAGTACCTGGTCTCGGTTCCAGTAGGAGCTCGAACATTGCCGGGTCACTCCCATACAGAAGCACTTCAAGCAGCCGTCTGGGTTCCGCTCACTGAGGTAGAAAGTTCCACTTTTACATTCGTTACACAAATGCCCTGAGACATGCGGCTGAAAAGGAGAATCAAGAGTCACCAAAACAAGAATGGAGGGGAAATCTCCCAATGGGGACACCCATTCCAGTAACACCAGTATGGAGATTCCCTCTCACTTCCTGTTGTGTCTCCAGGCAGGAAGTGAAGAGAAATCTCTCAAGGGTACAAAGAGAGAAAAAGGTAAACTGATGGGTGCAACCCCTTCTCTGCTCCATCCAAAACTAAAGAAACGTTCTGACTATACATAAATGTTGCAGAAGGACCTCCACCCCGATCCAACTAGACTAGGGGTTCCCAACCTCAGCCCTCGAGAACCCCCAACAAGACACGTTTTAGGAATTTCCCTCACCAAGCCTTTGACACTGGATTGAAAGCACTTGTGCAAGCAGAAGGAAATCGTGACCTGTTGGGGGTACCTGAGGACTGAGGTCACGAACTCCTGGTCTAGAACCCCAGCAATGGTGGGGTGATCTCTCATTGGAACTCTCCTTCTGTGGAGACTCGAGGAAGAGGCAATGAGTCAGTTACAGGAGCGGGGGGAAGAGGATTCTGGGAGTTCTGTTGCAGCGATTGGAAGAGAAATGTAATGTGATTTGCCAGTTTTAAAATATATTTGAATCAAATGACACATTGTAGTAAATGTATTCTGTAATTTATCAGGCAACAGCCGGGGGGCGCTGCAGGATGCCACGGAAAACGGACTCACCTTACATACACAAGCGTTGGGAGAGGAGACGGCGCTGCCACGAACATCACAGATCCCCGTATCGGCTGCTGCGGGATACACACAGCGATCAGCACACAAAACAGGCAAAACTCCAAAATTAATGAGAAACAAGAATGACCCCCGCCACGTGAACTGCGTAACTAAGGAGAAACAAGAATGACCCCCGCCACGTGAACTGCGTAACTAAGGAGAAACAAGAATGATCCCCGCCACGTGAACTGCGTAACTAAGGAGAAACAAGAATGATCCCCGCCACGTGAACTGCGTAACTAAAAAGAAACAAGAATGATCCCCGCCACGTGAACTGCGTAAGTAAGGAGAAACAAGAATGACCCCCGCCACGTGAACTGCGTAACTAAGGAGAAACAAGAATGACCCCCCGCCACGTGAACTGCGTAACTAAGGAGAAACAAGAATGATCACCGCCACGTGAACTGCGTAACTAAGGAGAAACAAGAATGAACCCCGCCACGTGAACTGTGTAACTAAGGAGAAACAAGAATGATCCCCGCCACGTGAACTGCGTAACTAAAAAGAAACAAGAATGATCCCCCCCCCCCCGCCACGTGAACTGCATAAGTAAGGAGAAACAAGAATGACCCCCGCCACGTGAACTGCGTAACTAAGGAGAAACAAGAATGACCCCCGCCACGTGAACTGCGTAACTAAGGAGAAACAAGAATGATCCCCCGCCACGTGAACTGCGTAACTAAGGAGAAACAAGAATGACCCCCGCCACGTGAACTGCGTAACTAAGGAGAAACAAGAATGACCCCCGCCACGTGAACTGCGTAACTAAGGAGAAACAAGAATGACCCCCGCCACGTGAACTGCGTAACTAAGGAGAAACAAGAATGACCCCCGCCACGTGAACTGCGTAACTAAGGAGAAACAAGAATGACCCCCGCCACGTGAACTGCGTAACTAAGGAGAAACAAGAATGACCCCCGCCACGTGAACTGCGTAACTAAGGAGAAACAAGAATGACCCCCGGCCACGTGAACTGCGTAACTAAGGAGAAACAAGAATGACCCCCCCGCCACGTGAAAACAGGAGAAAATGAATGACCCCCGCCACGTGAACTGCGTAACTAAGGAGAAACAAGAATGATCCCCGCCACGTGAACTGCGTAACTAAGGAGAAACAAGAATGACCCCCGCCAGGGTCACCTATAGGGGGGTATAGGAAGTCCTCCTGTACTGGGCTGCATCAGGTCAACAGGGGGCCCCAAGGTGTATAATGGTGGCCATGCTGGTACCCCTCAATCAGTCTTTCATGTACCCCCCACATTCTCCCTGACCAGTCATGGCCACTTTGATTCTCCCTCTGGTGACATCACACCAAGCTTCCCTGTCATTCTGGCAGCCTGAACTCCCTGCAAAGGCGAATTTCGCTTCCCTGGCCATCCAGGTCCCTGATGCATTGTGCACTGCGATACCAGACTGGGCAGCCTTTGTGGTCCCTGATGCATGTGCACTGCGATACCAGACTGGGCAGCCTTTGTGGTCCCTGATGCATGTGCACTGCGATACCAGACTGGGCAGCCTTTGTGGTCCCTGATGCATGCACAGTGGGAGCCCCTCTCCCTACTGGAGCCAGGCTGAGGTGAGAACAGTGTGGAAAGTGAGGAGGTGCAGTCAAGGCACACCCAGGTAGATGAGAGGAGATCAGTAAGGCTGTATGGGGCCCTATGAGTTCTAAAAGTGGCCCTAAAGTCCACGCACAGTGCAAGTCTGTTTGGAGAGGTGGAATCACTAGTTGTATCTGGAGAGGGGGAGGAGTCATACTAACCAGTGGATTTTGTGCACCGCCCTCCAGGTCTCATTGGGTCACCATCATATCCTACGGCACACCTGGAATGAGAATAATCAGATAACGTGTGTACCACGTGGCCTTCAAACGTCAGATACCAGAATTAAATATCTGGAGTGATGAAGCAATATATACGAGTTGGCCGTTACCTCTCACACCGCCGGCCGGTGTAGCCCTCAGCACAGTTATCACACACGTTGGCTGACCATCGGTGTCCAGGAAACACGTGTCTGAGTACCTACAGTGGGGGGGGTAGGGAGCCGGCTGTCAGAGGTCAGGATATCACCCAGTAAACACATTGAATGTACCATGTGGCATGGTGGCTCACCTGCGTGTCGGGTCCATGAGAGGACAAGGACAGGGTCGGCAGGCATCGGCTGTGCCCTTAGTGGGATCTCCGAAGAAGCCCGCCTTACATTTATTGCATTGTGGCCCCTCCGTGTTGTGTTGACAGTTCTAGATTGGAGAAAACACAGTAAGAACATCCAGTCTTCATATCTGAGCTTCCACCCCGCCTGTGTAGGCTCCATCCCAACTGACCAAAGAACATTGGAACGTTCATCCAACCTTACTATGTTGTGGTGAGCGATTCATTTCCGCTGATCCTGCGAGTGTTTCTAACTGTGGCTCAATACATTTGAACCTTCATACTGCACTTAGAAGGCCCTTCCATTTCTCCCTTCTTCTCGGGTCCTTACAATGCCACCCAGAGACAGCAAGGAGCCTACAGAATACCGGCCTGTACATTGACATGGCTGGTGTTCCCAGAGCTTTAGGCTTTCAGCAACAAAGGTGGAGTCTTGGTGCTCCACAGCCATAGCTGGCTGGAGGACAGAAGCTCTGGACACATGGACACTCTCCCAGCATTCCACATTCTGCAGCAACATGACTTTACGGGAATTATAGGACTTGATCAATAGTCAAGTACTAATGTGGCAGCACCCATATATAGCAGAGTTCCCCTTTAAGTGTCTAAAAGCATCGGTTTTCAGAACCAGGTCATCGTCTCACCTCCTCCCCCTCTTTTCCTGTGGAACAATGTGCTCCAGCCTACCAGCTGACACCCTGACTGTCAGTCGGTGATATTTTATCTAAATGTGAAACCGCAAAGGAATATCCTGAACTGCTCAGAATGTAATTTAAAGGTACAAAAAGTAAAGAGGAAATCTATGCATTGTGACGTAATTGTTGATATATACATCATGAAGATGCTTTTCAAGGCACTCAGCTTGCAGACACGAGTCTGGCCAGGTCAACCAGCTGGTAAATAAAAAGCTTGTTTTCCTCAAGTTCGTGTCCGGAGTTTTCCTGGAGTTCCCAAAGTTGTCATTACACTAACTCCTAAATACATTAACACACATTAACCAATTAGAATCCTCCTTGTACTGGGTGGGTCCAGCAGAGTGATCTGATTGGTTACTATGGGTTACTTTGTTGTATGAGGCTGTATATGACCTCCATTCCACTACGGAGCCTCCAATGACCTTTCACTGAGCAGCACCACAAATGACCAGACTGAACCGTGCTGAAAAATATTTCGTCCTGTAACCATGACAACCTGAAAATGGTGTGCTTCTACAAGTCGTATTTCCTGCACTCCGAGATACACGTAAATATGATCGAAGGCAGAAAACTCCAGACGTAAATTCTGGGAATACGATATCATAGAGCAGGACACAGCCAGGCTGAGGTCAGTGCAGACATCGAGCAGAAACCTGAAGTCGTGACAAACCAGATCAGAAGATCACAAACACAGCTGAGTGACGGCCGTGACACCTACAGGAAGTTGTCACCTATGAAGGCAATGTGTCACTTACTATGCAGTAGCCGCTCTCAGAGTCGCAGGATCTGGCGTGACCATTGCAGTTACATCCGGAACAGGTCCCCAGGAAAGGTCCTCCAGGAACTCGCTCAAACTGTAGAGAACAAACTTCGCAGGAAAGGCCTGAATATCCCACGGGGCACCTGAAATGAGGGGTTATCAGATCACAATCACTAACAGGAGCTGAACAACATGACAACAAAGTGTTAATTTTGTGGGTGCGAGCAACCAACTCAGTAATGGTCCTTCATATGGGACATGAATACCATATGGGAAGAACTTTTCCACCATGTGTCGTCATATCAGGCCATACAAGCTCTGCTTCTCTACCACGCATATCCATCATGTAATAATGATGTACGGTGGAGGAGTCTTTCCCATCACAGGACCCCAAGTCTTCTTCTCCAGCATGAGGGCATGGCCATGGGTTGGAGAATGATGTGTACTAATTCACTAATATATGGATAGCACAACTGACCCCCTTCATACTGACCCCCTTCATACGTCACCCAGGAATCCATAGACTGGACTGCGTGTACAGATCTGAATGGCATACGGTCTATAGGACACAACACGGTCCCCCACGCTGTGAATGTCACCATATTTGTATATTGGGGTATTCATAGGAGAACGGCATGGCAGATAACTGGCAGCCCTCCTTATAGAACAAATCCCTGACAACCCATACAACAATAGCGATGGTGGAAAGGTCCAAGAAGCGCCTTCATCTGACGTACCTGCACTCTTCTACGGCCAATGCCACTCCTAGCTGGGTGTACTCCACACTGGTCGTATCCATGACAATGTCTCCCAGGCCAACACTGGCCATCTTGTTGTCATAGACAGTTTGGATCATGATGGCTTCCACATTCTGAAGGGTCATCAGCAGGTCCTCCCGGGTCACGGCGGCTCCGGATTCGTGCTGCCAGTTCTCCTGCCAGGGCCAACAGAAAGGGATGGACAACATTGTCACACACTCCAGAGAATATCGAATTCTGCTACTTATAATTTGTCTCCTGGATACCGTCATCACATTAATACTTTATTTCAGCTTTTTATAGTCAGCAGCTGTATACTGATAAGAATAACAGCAAAATTGGTGAAGAATTATCAAATTGCTAAAATAGATGAAAACAAACTTAATTCAACAATTTCAGAGACCAAGAAGACCAGAAGTAGGTGGATATGAGGTGGTGCCGTGCTCCCCGATGAATGTAGAACCACAGATAAACTGCCATTTGCATGTCATGTGACCCAATTAAACCTGTTATGGCCTCCAGCATTACTGACAAAGTGCTTGTCTACATATCTGTTCCCTCATACTTGAGTCACAGTAACCATTAGAAGTTCTAGCACTTCATAGCTGGCCAACCAACGGCGGGGCTTATATCTGACTTGGAGAGAAGCCACGGCCTTGTGTTCAATCTAGGATCTGTCTCAGGTCTGTAAAATCTGGGGGGAGGTTTGGAATGTGGACTACACACACATGACAGTCACAAGACACATATAACATATAAATGACACTGTACTATCTGGACTAAGGTTTGGAGAGGACATCACTCAATGTTCACAGCTGACATTTTGGATTTCTAATTATGTAACTGACATTTCTGTTTCAGAGTTTGATACAGAAGAGCCTCAATGGCGGGAGATCTCACCTCCGTGAATTGGATCGCTCGCTGGTTCACAACGGTAGGCTGGGTAAATGACTGAACTCGATAGATCAGTTTCTGTCCATTTCCAATCAGAATGATGTCTGGCCTTCTCACTGGTTCTGACTGGCCTCGAGTGAGACCATAGCGGACTTTATAGCTGAGGGCACCTCCGTAGGAGTCCACCTGATCAGAGAAGATGAAGCTCATTGGTCAAAAACTAAATAAAAAATAATATAATCCTTTGAATGAGATATCCACGGTATGAGACATTACCTTGTTTCCCAGGAACTGTAATGGGAGCGTCCAGTAGGAATCATGACTCAGGAACCTTCGAGAAAGATCAACTAGCTGGAACTCCTCAACTGTTGTGTCAATCTGGAGCTGATTAGATGAGAGGGGAGGGAAGCCCTGTGGAGAGGTCACATTCACACCTACAACAGAGGGACAGAAATGTCCATGAGCTGTGTATGTCCTGAGATGTACTGTATCTACACATTAGCCCTGACTGATCGAGGATAGAGAGTTCCCTGAGCAATCTATGTCCTGAGATGTATCTACACACGAGCCCTGACTGATGGAGGATAGAAAGGTCCATGGGACGTGTATGTCCTGAGACTTAACTGATGGAGGACAGAGAGGTCCATGAACCTTCTATGTCCTGAGATGTATCTACACACAACCCCTGACTGATGGAGGACAGAGAGGTCCATGAGCCAGATACATCTTGGGACATATCTACACACAAGCCCTGACTGATGGAGGACAGAGAGGTCCATGAGCCGGGTATGTCCTGAGATGTGTCTACACACAAGCCCTGACTGATGGAGGACAGAGAGGTCCATGAGCTGGGTATGTCCTGAGATGTGTCTACACACAAGCCCTGACTGATGGAGGACAGAGAGGTCCATGAGCCGGGTATGTCCTGAGATGTGTCTACACACAAGCCCTGACTGATGGAGGACAGAGGTCCATTAGTCGGGTATGTCCTGAGAAGTATCTACTACACACAAGCCCTGACTGTTGAAGGCCAGAGAGGTCCATGATCCGGGTATGTCCTGAGATGTATCTACACACAAGCCCTGACTGATGAAGGCCAGAGAGGTCCATGATCCGGGTATGTCCTGAGATGTATTTACACACAAGCCCTGACTGTTGAAGGCCAGAGAGGTCCATGATCCGGGTATGGTATGTCCTGAGATGTGTCTACACACACAAGCCCTGACTGATGAAGGCCAGAGAGGTCCATGAGCCGGGTATGTCCTGAGATGTGTCTACACACAAGCCCTGACTGATGAAGGCCAGAGAGGTCCATGAGCCAGGTATGTCCTGAGAAGTGTCTACACAATGAGATATGTTCATGGATATATCACGTAACCGGATCTCTCTAGATTGATCTGATGATCATGAACACAATATAATATATTCTGTAGGTTTGGGGAAGGATTTTATCACTAGTAAAGAGATTTACCTTTAAAGTCATCGGGAGCGTCAAAGCGAAGTCTGATCTGGTTTCGGTAGCGCCCCGTCTGTTGGCACACCTTGGTGACACCAAAACAAAAGCAGGGAATGCACCTAGAGGTGGTCTCCACGTGGAAGAAGCCCTCAGTGCAAGGACCTGGAAATCAAACATTGATCACTGATCACAGTCCAATACATGATTGGTAATAATCAATATCCAATGAAACAAAGTTACATTTTATCACTTTCAGTTCCACCTACACAGAAGAGTCCACATGGACCCATTACTAGTCTTCAAGCATGGATTTCGCTCCACCTTTAAATGATCCTACTCAGGCCTTTGCACACAGGACATTCAGCAGCAGAGCGGCTGTGTTGGTGGAGATCATGCCGCCATTTTGTTGGCGACTTTGTAAATGATTTAATTGGATAATGCAGACGCAAAGATTTTAGAATTGTTGTCCCCATAGATGGTGGAACATTACCTCTGGATGGCTTCAGGGACAGAACACCATCAGGAATACCGAACACCATGCCCTTGGCGTTGATGGCCTCACACGTGTACGCGCCTTGATCGGCCTCCTTCACATCCCGAATGATGAGTGTCCCGTGTCCGTTCTCACTGCTCATCGTCACTCTATGGGGGGGCAGAAATGAAAGGTGACGCTTGCTGATATCACACGACAACAATGGTGAAACCTTCCCCCTGTGAAGGATGTACCTGCTGCTGGTGGGAATGTGGCCCCAGTTCAGCCTCCAGGTGATGATGGGAGTCGGGATACCAATGGCAACACAAGTAAAACGCACCGTGTCCCCCCGGGAGGCAACGATACTTTCCTCTGGAGGGGTGATCACCTGGGGAGGACCTGACACAAACAAAAATCACATGACGGAGAATATAAAAGACGATTGGCGGTTTAGTCTATAATGACACCCGAATACACTTACTGCAGCCGACTTCATCGGATCGGTCGGGACAGTCGGCCTCCTCGTCACACTGGTAACTTGCTGGGATACAGATCCGGGACTGGACGCAGACAAACTGCTCGGGGGCACACATGTCACTCGGCCCTTTAGTGGCTGCATGGAACGCAACGAAACGCTCAGCATTAGAACCAAATATACTTCACATCAACTATACATCTGACCTTGGGGGGGGGGGGGCAAACAAGGGTGTGCATGGGGCAAACAAGGGGGGCATGGGGCAAACAAGGGTGTGCATGGGGCAAGGAAGGAGGTATATGGGGCAGAAAAGGGTGTGCATGGGGCAAGGAAGGAGGTATATGGGGCAGAAAAGGGGGTACATGGGGCACAGAAAGGGGTGTACAGGATAAAGAAGGGTGTGCGCAGGACTAAAAGGAGTAGCACAGGGCAGAGAAGAAGGTGTGGGGAATGAGAAGAGGGGGTGTACAGGGCAGAGAAGGGGGTGTAGGGACAGAAAAGGGGGTGTAGAGACAGAGAAAGGGGTGCACAGGGCAAAGAGGGGGTGTAAGGGGCATAGAAGGGGTTGTAGAGACAGAGAAGGGGGTGCACAGGGCAAAGAGGGGGTGTACAGGGCAGGGAAGGGGGTGTAGGGACAGAGAAGGGGGTGCACAGGGCATAGAAGGGGGTGCACAGGGCAGAGAAGGGGGTGCACAGGGCAGAGAAGGGACTGTATGGAATGAGAAGGGGGTGTAGGGAATGAAAAGGGGGTTCACAAAAAAGGGGGTGTAAAGACAGAGAAGGGGGTGCACAGGGCAAAGAGGGGGGGTGTATGGGGCAGAGAAGGTGGTGCATATGGCAGAGGAGAGGGATGTACAGGGCAGGGAAGGGGGTGCACAGGGCAGAGAAGGGGATATACGGGGCAGAGAAGGGGTGCATGGGGGACCCCATGAGGTATGAAGCAGAAGAGAGGACTTACGGCAGTTTATCTCATCAGAATTGTCCCCGCAGTCATCATCACCATCACATCGCCACAGCTTCAGGGCACAGCGTCCGTTCTTACACTTGAACTCATTGGGCTCGCAGGGGGAGGGGGTACCTGGGGGGTTAGATGAGGTGAGATTAGAGGATGTACACCGCCACGGAGTCAGTGAGCGCCATATTAGTATAATGCACCATTTCCTATCATCTACAAGACAAGATGAAGTCTCCTCACTACTTATAATACCAGGTCCAGAAGGGGGGAGACCACTGAGCCCTGATGAAGGGGGGAGACCACTGAGCCCTGACGAAGGGGGGAGACCACTGAGCCCTGAAGAGGGGGGGAGAACACTGAGCCCTGAAGAAGGGGGAGACTACTAATGTCAGGAATGGACTTGCCAATAGTGGTGGGACTCACCTGCCTTGTGGGCTGCAGTACCAGGGCTGGCCAGCGGGTGCTCTCAACAACCAGAGGCTCACTCCTGCAATTAGCCATCACCTGGGGCTAATTGCAGGTGGTGTATTTAAGGGATGGCCAGACCTGCAGTCAGTGCCTTGTTGTACTGTTTGCTTGGCCCTGGTTTCCTGATCCTGTTTCTGCCTGTCCTGACGCTGCCTGAACTCTGCCTGTACTGACCTCGGCTAGTCCTGACCACTCTCCCACCTGCTCCTGGTACTCCGTTTGCCCGTTTGCTACCGACCCGGCCTGCCTGACGACTCTTGTATCGTATGTTTGTTATCTGTTGGAGGTTTGGTTCAGTTTGTTTGCACTGTGTTATGTTTAGTTTTGCACTGCGTTTGTATTGTTAGTCTCAATAAATTATATTATTTACTATATCTGAAGCCTGCGTTTCCCTGTGTCAGTCCACACACTTCTGGTCATACCCGCATCCCTGACAACTAAGCCCTAACGAAGGGGGGAGACCACTGAGCCCTGAAGAGGGGGGAAGACCACTGAGCCCTGAAGAAGGGGGAGGCCACTGAGCCCTGACGAAGGGGGAGACCACTGAGCCCTGAAGAAGGGGGAGGCCACTGAGCCCTGACGAAGGGGGAGACCACTGAGCCCTGACAAAGGGGGAGACCACTGAGCCCTGACAAAGGGGGAAGACCACTGAGCCCTGAAGAAGGGGGAGGCCACTGAGCCCTGACGAAGGGGGAGACCACTGAGCCCTGAAGAGGGGGGAAGACCACTGAGCCCTGAAGAAGGGGGAGGCCACTGAGCCCTGACGAAGGGGGAGACCACTGAGCCCTGACGAAGGGGGAAGACCACTGAGCCCTGAAGAAGGGGGAGGCCACTGAGCCCTGACGAAGGGGGAGACCACTGAGCCCTGACAAAGGGGGAAGACCACTGAGCCCTGAAGAAGGGGGAGGCCACTGAGCCCTGACGAAGGGGGAGACCACTGAGCCCTGAAGAGGGGGGAAGACCACTGAGCCCTGAAGAAGGGGGAGGCCACTGAGCCCTAACGAAGGGGGAGACCACTGAGCCCTGACGAAGCGGGAAGACCACTGGGCCCTGACGAAGCGGGGAGACCACTGGGCCCTGACGAAGCAGGGAGACCACTGGGCCCTGACGAAGCGGGGAGACCACTGGGCCCTGACGAAGCGGGGAGACCACTGGGCCCTGACGAAGCGGGGAGACCACTGGGCCCTGACGAAGCGGGGAGACCACTGGGCCCTGACGGATCGGGGAGACCACTGAGCCCTGAAGAGGGGGGGGAGACCACTGAGCCCTGACGAAGGGGGAGACCACTGAGCCCTGACGAAGGGGGGAGACCACTGAGCCCTGACGAAGGGGGGAGACCACTGAGCCCTGACGAAGGGGGGAGACCACTGAGCCCTGACGAAGAGGGGAGACCACTGAGCCCTGACAAAGGGGGAGGCCACTGAGATGAGACCTGATGAAGGGGGAGGCCACTGAGATGAGACCTGATGAAGGGGGAGGCCACTGAGCCCTGACGAAGGGGGGAGACCAAATAGCAATACAATTGTTTTATAAATACACCCCATAGCGTTTTTCAGACCTCCTATGTATAATGCTGACCCCCCCCCCCTCATCCCCCCAATCACAGAAATGTACAGATCAGATGGTAGAGAGGAGGGGGCACTCACCGCAGTTCAGCTCATCGCTGCCATCTTTGCAGTCACGTTCTCCATCGCACAGATAATCGCGGGGAATACACTGTCCATTGGGGCACCGCGCCTCTTCCCTCCGACATGGGCGCGGCTCATCTATGGGGGGCTTGGGATGCCTGAAAGGTGTGGTGGCAACCACCGGCGGCCTGGTGTATACGGGCGGGGGAGGGGTGGTGGCGGGGCGGGGGGTGTATATCGGTCTTGTAGTGATGACAGAGGGGGTGGTCACGATTGACGCTCCGGGTTCTGTACAAAGAAAAGTGCGACAATGATCAGAAGACGACATGGCGGACCAGGCGGCGCAGCCCGCAGGACAAAACGCAAAATCAACATTTCCACAACGCGTTTTTCCCGCGGACGGTGTTATCTCAGAGCGCGGGAAATCGGGGAAAACACACAGGCAAGCAAAAAATACAAAATGACCAAATAGAAATCTCAGAACCTCAAATGTTCCCGACAGCCAATCACAGCAGCAGCCGGCAAAGCAAGAACCGGCGAAGACGCCGCAGCAATTCACCAGCGGCACAGTTCTGTGTAGAAGGATTCGCATACTTCTAGGGCTGCATTCATAAAATAATCGCTGTGCGAAGGTCTCCGCCATCCTAGACACATTCCTTCACTGAAGATGTTCATTTCCTATGATCATCAGCTCCATCTAGTGGCCACAATGCAGCATTTCATGAAAATACCACGTTATGGCCACTAGATGGAGCTGCAGTGAGGAAATATACGTTCTAGACCAATCACGGGGATTATTCATGATGGCCGTGTGAATGCTGCAGACATCTGCACAGGATCGGCCCCTATGAGTGTCACCCCAGATGAGGCTTTTTTCTTAGATTTGGATGGATTGTTGAACCCGTGTCTGCGGATTTCCTCTTCCTTCCTGTCCCAGTGACAACGGTTTCAGGAAGTTTTGGCTGCTTCTGCACTGAGTAGGGGACATGGCAGGCTTATCTCTGAGGATTTCTCCTCAGCCCCGGTGCAGCTCCAAGGCTGCACACACTAACGCACATCAATGGATGAGCCAATGTCCCGGATTCCTAGAGAAATGCTGAACTCTGATTGGATGGCCTTCCTCTCGGAAAGTTTATTCATCGATAGGGGTCGTTTCGGTCTCTTACCACATTGACTCTCATCAGACGAGTCCCGGCAGTCAAATCGGCCATCGCAGTAATAGATTCTGGGAATACACTCGCCGCTGCCACATGTAAAGTCCGTGTGACCGCAGAGCACACGTTCAGCTGGAAGATCATGCAATGCCAGGTTAGTATGTTACCTCTGCCTGCCCCCAGCTCACACCCAGAAGGCGGCCTCATAAAGGTGACCAATCACAGATACACAACTTGGTTTATGTGGTGCCAAGTACAAAGATTTGGTATGGTGCCCCCTAGTGAGAAGGTGAATCTGGCACTCTGTGGCTGTAAAAGGCGTCACCCCTCTGTGATTTCCCAGGTCTTTGTCCCCATCCAAAGACCCCTCTGGGAGGTTCCAGGTCTTTGTTTCCATCCACAGACCCTTTTATGAGGTCCCAATTCCGTGCCCCCATCCACACACCCCTCTGGGAGGTCCCAGGTCCTTGTCTCTATCCACACATCCCTCAGGGAGGTCCCAGGTCCTTGTCTCTATCCACACATCCCTCGGGAGGTCCCAGGTCCTTGTCCCCATCTACAGACTCGTCTGGGAGGTCCCAGGTCTTTGTCTCCATCCACAGACTCTTCTATGAGGTCCCAAGTCCTTGTCCACATCCACACGCCCCTTTGGAAGATCCTAGGACCTTGTCCCTATCCACCCACCCCTCTGGAAGGCCCAGGTCCCTTTCCCCATCCACAGATCCATTTATGAGGTCCTAGGCCCTTGTCCCAATCCACAGACCCATCTAGGAGATCTCAGGTCCTTGTCCCAATCTGAAAACCCTTCTAAGAAGTCCGAGGCCCTTTTCCCCATCCACACACCCCCTTGAGAGGCCCAGGCCCCTTTCTCCAGCCAAAGACCTCTCTAAGAGCTCCCAGGTCTTTGTCCCCATCCACAGACCCATTTATGAGGTCCCAGGACCTTGTCTCCAATCATGCACCTTTCTACGAGGTCCTAGGTCTTTGCCCCCATCCACAGACCCTTTTCTGAGGTCCCAGGTCCTTGTCCCCATCCACAGACCCTTTTCTGAGGCCCCATGTCCTTGTCCCCACTCATTGACCCTTTTCTGAGGCCCCAGGTCCTTGTTCCCATTCACAGACCCTTTTCTAAGAGGTCCCAGGTCCTTGTCCCCATTCACAGACCCTTTTCCAAGGCCCCAGGTTCTTGTCCCACATTGGGCAGCAGAATGTAAAGCACCTATTGCTCAGCACAGAGCCCCAACCCATAATATGCTCTCGTTAGTATGCAGCTTCTGCTCTCTGGGCATCTTTCATGATGCAGTCTCCAAGCCCCAAACCCTGCACTCCCATCAGTACTCACGGCACCCTTCTTCATCGGACATGTCCCGGCAATCATGGCGCTGGTCACATCTGAACTCCAAGGGGACGCACTCTCCGCTGGTGCAGGTGAACTCATCCACCATACATGTACGCACTGGAGGGGTGACTGAGGAGAGAGACTTTAATTACAATCTCAGCACAGATACAGCAAACAACATGCAGATCACAGGGCAGGAGAAGTCTGACAGCGTGGTGGGAAGTCGCACTGCGACAAATGCCGCAATCGCCAATACAATGACATGCCATGCTGGTAAGTCAAACATAGAGACAAGCTGATACCGGTCACTGGAGGGTCGGGTCACCAGTCGCCGGAAGGTCTGACAATGATCATCAGAAGGTCTGATGACCAATAACTGGCAGGTCTGGTCAGCGACTATTGGAGGGTCTGATCAGTGACCATTGGAGGGTCGGGTCACGAATCTCCAGAGGGTCTGGTCACCAGTCACCAGAGGGTCTGGTTAGCGATCACTGGCAGGTCTGGTTAGCGATCACTGCAGGTCTGGTTACCGATCACCGGCAGGTCTGGTCACCGATCATTGAAGGGTCTGGTCACCGATCATTGAAGGGTCTGGTCACCGATCATTGAAGGGTCCGGTCACCGATCATTGAAGGGTCTGGTTACCGATCATAGAAGGGTCTGGTCACCGATCATAGAAGGATCTGGTCACCGATCATAGAAGGGTCTGGTCACCGATCATAGAATGGTCTGGTCACCGATCATAGAAGGGTCTGGTCACTGATCATTGAAGGGTCTGGTCACCGATCATTGAAGGGTCTGGTCACCGATCATTGAAGGGTCTGGTCACCGATCATAGAAGGGTCTGGTCACCGATCATAGAAGGGTCTGGTCACTGATCATAGAAGGGTCTGGTCACCGATCATTGAAGGGTCTGGTTACCGATCATAGAAGGGTCTGGTCACCGATCATTGAAGGGTCTGGTTACCGATCATAGAAGGGTCTGGTCACTGATCATAGAATGGTCTGGTCACCGATCATAGAATGGTCTGGTCACCGATCATAGAATGGTCTGGTCACGGATCATAGAAGGGTCTGGTCACCGATCATTGAAGGGTCTGGTTACCGATCATAGAAGGGTCTGGTCACTGATCATAGAATGGTCTGGTCACCGATCATAGAATGGTCTGGTCACCGATCATAGAATGGTCTGGTCACGGATCATAGAAGGGTCTGGTCACCGATCATAGAAGGGTCTGGTCACCGATCATAGAAGGGTCTGACACTGATCACCAAGGGGTCTGACACTGATCACCAAGGGGTCTGACACTGATCACCAAGAGGCCTGACACTGATCACCAAGGGGTCTGACACTGATCACCAAGGGGTCTGACACTGATTACTGAAGGGTCTGGTCACCAATCAATCACTGGAGGGTCTGGTTACTGATCACTGGAGGGTCTGGTCACCAGTCTCCAGAGGGTCTGACAATGGTCATCAGAGAGTCTGGTCACCGGTCACTGGAGGGTCTGGTCACCAATCACTAGAGGGTCTGGTCACCAATTACCAGAGGGTCTGGTCACTGGTATGGGGATATGATCTGTTCCTGGCCCCTCCACACATGGAAACGTCCCATCATCCTCTGAGTCAAACATAGAGACAAGCTGACACAAGTCACTGGAGGGTCTGGTCACTAGTCTCCAGAGGGTCTAACAATGATCACCAAAGGGTCTAACAATGATCACCAGAGGTTCTGACACTGATCACCAGAGGGTCTGACACTGATCAGCTACCGGCGGGTCTGGTCAGCAGTCATCAGAGGGTCTGGTCACCGATCACTGGAGGGTCTGGTCACCAGTCTCCAGTGGGTCTGACATTGATCATCAGAGGGTCTGGTCACCAGTTACTAGAGGGTCTGGTCGGCAGTCATCAGAGGGTCTGGTATGGGGATGTGATCTGTCCCTGGCCCCTCTACACATGGAAATGTCCCATCATCTTCTGAGACAAACCATCCACAGCATTACCAATGCGTTCTGGGTGAAAACCATAGAAAACCAACCAAAACAACACAGCCGAGCACTGGTTTTGTTATGAGCCCTGACATCCCTTATGTATCACTGTGTCTACAATAAGAACAGTCTATATCATCACAACCAATCAGATGTCTGGGAGGAGAGTGAAGGAGGCTCTGTCAATTGTTGCCCAGAACAACCAATCAGGGTGGGGAAGAATAACACGGAGAAGTTGAATTTGGGCCCAACATTGCTTGGTTGGCACATTGAGATATAGTCACAGGTCTTACATGACAAGCAATGCCAGCATTAGATAAAAGAGAACCCCCCGGGGAGCTCCTGGACCATCATCAGCTCCACCCGACCTCAATAAAACTTCATTACAACCACGAGATTAGTCTGATGGAAAACACAGCAATTCCTTTATTAGTGAGATATGGCAGTCCCATGACAGAGCCGCCAGCAAGAACATCAGACCCGTTATGAACAGCTGATACAACATGGCGGACAGCTATGGTCACACAATGCAGAGTCCGAGGTCACGGCACACCACAAGCAACTTACCTGGAGGCTCAAACCCAATAGGAGGTGGGGGTGTTTGTGCTACACAGACAGAAGATCAGCCAGATAGAAAGACAGATGGACCATCGGTGTGAGAGAGAGAGAGAGAGAAAGACAGACAGACCATCAGTCAGAGAGAAAGACAGACAGACCATCGGACAGGGGAAAAGACAGACAGACCATCGGTCAAAGAGAAAGACTGACAGACCATCAGTCAGAGAGAAAGACAGACAGACTATCGGTCAGAGAGAAAAGAATACAGACCATCGGTCAGAGGAAAAGACAGACAGACCATCGGTCAGAGAGAAAGACAGACAGACCATCAGTCAGAGAGAAAGACAGACAGACCATCGGACAGAGGAAAAGACAGACCATTGGACAAAAGGAAAAGACAGACAGACCATCGGACAGAGAAAAAGACAGACCATTGGACAAAAGGAAAAGACAGACAGACCATCGGTCAGAGGAAAAGACAGACCATCGGTCAGAGAGAAAGACAGACAAACCATCGGTCAGAGAGAAAGACAGACAGACCATCGGTCAGAGAGAAAGACAGACAGACCATCGGTCAGAGAGAAAGACAGACAGACCATCAGTCAGAGAGAAAGACAGACAGACCATCGGTCAGAGGAAAGACAGACAGACCATCGGTCAGAGGAAAAGACAGACAGACCATCGGTCAGAGGAAAAGACAGACAGACCATCGGTCAGAGAGAAAGACAGACAGACCATCGGTCAGAGAGAAAGACAGACAGACCATCGGTCAGAGAGAAAGACAGACAGACCATCGGTCAGAGAGAAAGACAGACAGACCATCGGTCAGAGAGAAAAGACAGACAGACCATCGGTCAGAGAGAAAGACATACAGACCATCGGTCAGAGGAAAGACAGACAGACCATGGGTCAGAGAGAAAGACATACAGACCATCGGTCAGAGAGAAAGACAGACAGACCATCGGTCAGAGAGAAAGACAGACAGACCATGGGTCAGAGAGAAAGACATACAGACCATGGGTCAGAGAGAAAGACAGACAGACCATGGGTCAGAGAGAAAGACAGACAGACCATCGGTCAGAGAGAAAGACAGACAGACCATCGGTCAGAGAGAAAGACAGACAGACCATGGGTCAGAGAGAAAGACTGACAGACCATCGGTCAGAGAGAAAGACTGACAGACCATCGGTCAGAGAGAAAAGACAGACAGACCATCGGTCAGAGGAAAAGACAGACAGACCATCGGTCAGAGGAAAAGACAGACAGACCATCGGTCAGAGGAAAAGACAGACAGACCATCGGTCCGAGGAAAAGACAGACAGACCATCGGTCAGAGAGAGAGACAGGCAGACCATCGGTCAGAGAGAGAGATAGGCAGACCATCGGTCAGAGAGAAAGACAGACAGACCATCGGTCAGAGAGAAAGACAGACAGACCATCGGTCAGAGACACAGACAGACCATCAGTCAGAGGAAAAGACAGACAGACCATCAGTCAGAGAGAAAGACGGACAGACCATCGGTCAGAGAAAAAGACAGACAGACCATCAGTCAGAGAGAAAGAAAGATGGAAATTTGGTTACGGTGATGGACAGACAGACAACCTGTCATAGATATACAGTAGACAGACAGATGATTGGTCATAGAGGAAGAGAAACAGACAGTTGACCAGGAACAGACAGCCAGTAGTGATGACTCCAGTCAATAATAATAGTGACTATAGAGAACAGTAATGGTGACTATAGTACTGAAACTTTCGGAAGGCTCCCCCGCCCCAGGAAAGTCCTATAGTTTACGATCTGCAGACGACTTACCAGCTCCCAGGTTTCGGAATTGGAATCCCCGGGTGGAGGTGACGTAGTTGGCAATGGAGCCGCTCTCAATCACGGAGTACAACACCTGGCGGATTTGTCCATCATTGGTGTTACCTTCTGATCCCACATCCAGCTCCACAAACACATCGCCATCAATCAATCTGCAGAGATGGGAAGATTGTGAGGTGACGCAGGACAAATTGCTCATCATCAAATAAAGCTCAACCCCAGAGAAACACGGCAAGAGTGAACACCAATACCCAAACCTCTAGAAGTAGAAGATACCTCCATGGAGTGACCTCTCCCAGACTGGACAGGCTTCATCCCTCCAGAGGCTTATAACAAATCTCAGCATTCCCCCATCCACAATGCATAACTGAATATCATCAATTGCTAAAGGTCTGCAGCTTACACTTCATTTATGGTGTGTGAAGGACATTACTGAGGTATCAGTGCTAGATGTGCAGTACCCACCCTGGTATCTGCCATGTCTATGTGCCATCTGCAATCTGCAAAAGTAGAACTTGTAGCAGAGCTTCTGGAGGCTCCGTAGATCACCTACCTACGCTACTACTGCCTATTGCCTTTCCCTACACAACCCTCTGAAACCATCTAGTCAGGACATTGTGTTCTACAAGATGTCCACCACATCAGAGGAGACTTCCCCTCCTTGATACACAGGTCTAGGATCCCTCTAATGTCACAGTACAAGGATGGAGGGAGGACAGGTATCCACAATGTGAACCAGAAGACCCATCATGTCCTCCATGCAGATGTAGAGTGGTTGGAGAAATGCTGCTTGAAATGCATGCTTCACTTACTTGACGTATACAACATTAACCATTTGTTCTCCAGAGATTTTGTAATATTCCGACTCCAGCTGAAATGGAAAAAAATCGGCAGTTAGTGGCCATTACTGAGACACTGACACACACAGAAAATCCAAGCAATAATAAAGGCCTTGACAGGTTGGGGAGATGGATGTGATCTCACCGTGTCGACCACAGCCTCTGACAGATCCCGAAACTGGTCGGAGGAGACATTGTCCAGGTCCGACGTGTAGTCTATAGACTTGGTGAAATTCACTAGAGCTCTGTAATAAACTGAAAGAGAGAGAGGAAAACCCATTACCAACTGAAAAACAATGAGGCACATACCAACAGCTCCCCGCCAATAATCCCTGGAAATGGGAGCAAGGCATCAACACAAGGGCACCTCGGGTCATCCCAAAACTGGCTGGAACCATAGAGCAGGCACAGACGGGCACTGAAACTGGCAGGGTCACCCATTACCAGTGCCAGGAAAACACAATGAATGGAGCAGACAAAACACTTAATGACATTAACAGAAACTGCAATGTAACCCAGAACATCATTGACTCTCCTCAGCCCCTCCAGAGCCCATAGTGAGCAGTCCTGGGTTGTCACCTCAAGGTCCTATCACTAGAGGGCGCCATGTACACGGTATGGAAAAACTCACCCATAGATCAGCCGGAAATCCACAATATACTGTACAATGGTTTCCAAAGAAATGTGTGCTTATATGAACTATTATCATGAATGTTTTACTGGGGACAATTTTGTGTTGTGAAGGTTCCCCAATTTATCTAGAGCCCCTCATTGCCTTTGTGTAATGTAAAGGCCAAAGTAAAAAAATAACTGTCAGCAAGGAGAAAGTCCCCCAAAACTGCAGCTGGCAGAAGGATCACTGAATGCACCGCATAGAAATGTGTGGTAGGAACGAGCGTCACCGAGCAGGATGAGCCGGGACTTGCAATGCAGTTTATATAAACATCACGCTAAGTAACAAAAGGTGTGGATGGCGCCGGTGTTACGGAGGAGACATCACATAACTTTCTGTAGGTTCACTGTCAGAATCAAAGAACAAGAAACTTTGCATGCCTGAAAAATTAACAGCAATGTCTTCATTTCACAACAATTATCCCACAGAAGTGATATGAAATAAGTGACCTCCATGATGCCTCAGAGCAGAGCCACACAAACCCAGGAGCCAAGCAGCTAATGGGACAGGAGCCAAGCAACCAACAGACCGGGAGACCAAGCAGCCAACAGGCTAGATGCCAAGCTACCAACAGACCAGGAGCCAAGCAGTCAATGGGCCAGGAGCCAAGCAGCTGATGGACAAGGAGACCAAACAGCCAAAGGGCCAGGAGCCAAGCAATCAACAGGCCATGAGCCAAGCAGCCAAAGGGCCAGAAGCCAAGCAGCCAACGGGCCAGGAGACCAAGCAGCCAACGGGCCAGGAGACCAAGCAGCCAACGGGCCAGGAGACCAAGCAGCCAACGGGCCAGGAGACCAAGCAGCCAACGGGCCAGGAGACCAAGCAGCCAAGGGGCCAGGAGACCAAGCAGCCAACAGTTTAGGAAATAAGCAGCCAATGAGCTAGGTGACCAAGCAGCCAACAGGCCAGCAGCCAAGCAACCAACGGACCAGAAGACCAAGCAGCCAATAGGCAAGGAGACCAAGCAAGGAACAAGCCAGATGCCAAGCAACCAACAGACCAGGAGCCAAGCAGCCAATGAGCCAACATACCAAGCAGCCAATGGGAGTACAACACTTAAGTGTGTTTGAAAAGGTCTTCCATCAACACGAATTATAGGAATGCTTTTACCCAGCTTCTAAAAACAGCAGCCGTGAGATGGTTATAGACCATCCCCACAATATTAACCCACCCTGAGGTCCCTTATGTATGGCACTATCTGCTCACACTGTCTTGACTTTTATCATACAAGAGGCTTCTGATGGAGCCAGGTGTTGTCTGCACCTACTGGTTGATAAGGTCTTGAGGGGTGCAATTGCATAATGCATTATTCATGTTGGTGGTGTGAAGACTGTCCATAGTAATGTTGCCACATGGTTTGAAGAGAAATTGTCTTTGTATGCTGAATCATTAACAGGAACCTTTGCTGGAAATACCCAAAATCCATAATTTGGAGCAGGATTCACATAAGTCTGGCCATATAGTAGGTGATGGTCAGATGTCCTCATACGTCTGGTCATATAGGTAGGTGTGATGGACAGGTGTCCTCATACCTCTGACCTTATTCTAGGTGATGGCCAGGTGTAGGTAGGTGACGGACAGGTGTTCTCATACCTTCTGACCATACACTAGGGGATGGTCAGGTGTCCGCATACATCTGGCCATATAGGTAGGTGTCACGGACAGATGTTCTCATACCTTCTGACCATATACTATGATGGTCAGGTGTCCTCATACATCTGGCCATATAGGTAGGTGTCACGGACAGATGTTTTCATACCTTCTGACCATATACTAGGTGATGGCCAGGTGTCCTCATACATCTGGCCATATAGATAGGTGTGACGGACAGATGTCCTCATACCTTCTGACCATATACTATGATAACCAGGTGTCCTCATACATCTGGCCATATAGGTAGGTGTGACGGACAGATGTTCTCTTACCTTCTGACCATATACTAGGTGATGGCCAGGTGTCCTCAACGTCTGGCTATACAGGTAGGTGTGAAGGACAGATGTTCTCATACCTTCTGACCATATACTAGTTGATGGCCAGGTGTCCTCAACGTCTGGCTACACAGGGAGGTGTGAAGGACAGATGTTCTCATACCTTCTGACCATATACTAGGTGATGGCCAGGTGTCCTCAACGTATGGCTATACAGGTAGGTGTGAAGGACAGATGTTCTCATATGTTCTGACCATATATTAGGTGATGGCCAGGTGTCCTCAACGTCTAGCTATACAGGTAGGTGTGAAGGACAGATGTTCTCATACATTCTGACCATATACTAGTTGATGGCCAGGTGTCCTCAACGTCTGGCTATACAGGTAGGTGTGAAGGACAGATGTTCTCATACCTTCTGACCATATACTAGGTGATGGCCAGGTGTCCTCAATGTCTGGCTATACAGGTAGGTGTGAAGGACAGATGTTCTCATACCTTCTGACCATATACTAGTTGATGGCCAGGTGTCCTCAACGTCTGGCTATACAGGGAGGTGTGAAGGACAGATGTTCTCATACCTTCTGACCATATACTAGGTGATGGCCAGGTGTCCTCAACGTCTGGCTATACAGGTAGGTGTGAAGGACAGATGTTCTCATACCTTCTGACCATATACTAGGTGATGGCCAGGTGTCCTCAACGTCTAGCTATACAGGTAGGTGTGAAGGACAGATGTTCTCATACATTCTGACCATATATTAGGTGATGGCCAGGTGTCCTCAACGTCTAGCTATACAGGTAGGTGTGAAGGACAGATGTTCTCATACATTCTGACCATATACTAGTTGATGGCCAGGTGTCCTCAACGTCTGGCTATACAGGTAGGTGTGAAGGACAGATGTTCTCATACCTTCTGACCATATACTAGGTGATGGCCAGGTGTCCTCAACGTCTGGCTATACAGGTAGGTGTGAAGGACAGATGTTCTCATACATTCTGACCATATACTAGGTGATGGCCAGGTGTCCTCATACGCCTGATAATTTAGTGTAACAGAACTCTGGAGCATTAGTACTGAAGTTTGCCTTATGGGGAATGAATAATCCTTCCTTAGTGACCCACAGAGGCAGATGGACCAATTCTCGAAATACTTCTGTGCTCTCCTTCAGAAATGACCATTCCCTGTAAATCATCCAGTCTTTTTAGAATTTATAGCTACGTATGGGATCTGGTGTCCACACAGCTGCTCACAAGTCAGATATGCTGCACAGAGGAATATGTCTTATTTATCAGAGCCCCCCTGAGACGGCATACTGCGATTCTCCTTTCCCACCCAAAACATCTGCTCTCCTTTCCCATCTGTATGTAGGCCCAACTACACCCACTATTCCCACCGAATTCTGCAAGGATGAAAGGCAGAGCCATGGAATGTGTGCTCCTGATGGTACAGAGGCCCAGAAGGAGAATACTAGATTGTGTCCTGTCACTCCTCACCAGCGGCTGATAATTTATGAAAACAGCTGTCAGAAATCAGATCTATCCACAGGGAATGCGGCCTCTGTGCCAGGATGTACCCCACGCAGCTGCACGCAGCTGGAGCATCTCGGGCCTTCTACCAGTATATCCCGAACAGACGCCAGATACCAATGTGACCACAGCCAACTTCACTCCAAACAACCTAGAACAGACCCATAGACCAAGAACTACAACAAGGACTGGAAGATATTCTAGATGTAGAAAGGACAAGTCCTCGAATAGAGGAGTTCTAGATGTGGATGAACTACAGATTTCCAGAGGTGATGGACATCTTGGATCCAGGAAAAGCCAACACCTTCCTGGAGGAGAAACCCGTTCTACACAAATATGAGAAGCCTGGTCTAGATATAAACTATTACTACGGGGCAGGAACACCAGATAAATATATCCCTGCACATGGATACCGAGTTTATTTAAAGGAAGACTACATTTAAGTCCCATTAGCTCATCGGTTACTATACCCAGGAACACCAAGCCACTCGGCAAATATAACTATCGCCTCCGTCTTTTATTTCCCTATATATTGGCAGCTGGTATCACGGGCCCCAGGCTAGTGTATGCGTTGCTTTGTTTATATTCAGCCTGTAGTCTGCAGTCATATTGCCCATCGCACTGTTCAGTGCAGACTGAAGACTAAAACTTAAAACAAAGCAGATATTGGGGATCCACTCATTTCTATAACTGGCCGTCTAGATTGAAAATAAGGAAGGCTTGTGTTCCACATACATCATTGATTGAATGTCTTCGGACCCTGGAACCATAGCGGATGATTTTTATGTTGAGCTGCACTCATGTAATGCCTAAAGAAAGATCACAAACTGCTAAAGGTAGGTTCCCGTGGCAAAGGTTTAGGTTCTCTTCCAACCATCCATTGTGATTCCAACTGGCCAGCTGTGGAGAGCAAAATGTGCATCCAGAGGGATCCATGAGGTCCTCCTTGTGCTCAGTCATGGCCTGCACTCATGTTTTCTATTGCATTGTACGGTGTAGACTGCAGAAAGGTTGAATGTAAACAAACCGTTTTTACATGGCTTAAGGCCTGTGGCTCTGATGGTAACAGATTATTATTTACAGAGGTGCTTGGTGTCCATAGATGCAATCAGTGAGCTCATGTTTAT